AGTAACAAACAATAAATTGTTCACAGGAACAAAATGGCACAATAAATCAATGGACATCCCATATTAGCCAAACAAGGGATACCTGATGATGAACAGTGGGTACGTGATCGAAACATACATTCATAATAACATCTATAATTGTTATGGGATCTTACCCATAATAACATAATGGACTATTCCATACGTAATAAATACTGCGCCTCAAGAAGAAGCAGAGAGTTTAGTCTGAAGTCTGGAGTGAGGTCCATCAGAAGTTTGCCAGGAGTCTGTCAGTCAGTCAGAGGCAGTCTGAAACAGAGTCGCGTTCAGACAATTACTACTAAATCTGATTGTTCGTACTAACACTTTCTACTTCTCTGTATATATTCCTGTTTGTAATATATCTGTGTTATTCCATATCTGTGTTAGAGTTCTTCTTTATTGGTTCTAACTTGGACTATAACCGTGGTACAAGGAACCGGACCATAACAATAATAATCAAAATGAAAAAAATACTTTGAAATAAGTAATTGTCAGTATTCTTGAATTATCTCAAAAAGGAAATACAAAATATGCTTTATTTTGAGAAATAACACATCCATAAATATTGGGTAATTAAACCATTCTATAATGCCATCTGTTTTTATTAGTTAGATCACTTGAGGACTACCAACAGAGGCAACAACTAAAAGGAATAACACATGTAAATTGAAGAGAAAATAATGACATAATCAAGACATTGACTTTCCACGCTACTTGAAATAAAAGGTTAGGAAGGAAACTCCCATCAATACTGGAAAGAGCAATAACAGCTACTGGACTTGAGAAGAGAAAATAATGACATAATCAAGATGTTGATGTTCCACACTACTTTAAAGAAAAGGTTAGGAAGGAAACTCCAATCCATACTGGAAAGATCGATAACAGCTACTGGACTTGAGAAGAGAAAATAATGACATAATCAAGATGTTGACATTCCACGCTACTTGAAATAAAAGGTTAGGAAGGAAACCCCAATCAATACTGGAAAGAGCGATAACAACTACTGGACTTGTGACACTAACATTGGAAAATGTTTGAATTGGAAAATAAAGGGTTAAAAGCTATATTGACAAACACACTGATATAAAGAGAATTTATATTTTAGAAAAGGATTAAATTTTTCAAGAATAGAGAAATTGCATAAGAGACAAAATTACGGAAAAGCAATATGGCAAATTGCAGTAATGAATTACAAGAGGTCATAAAGGTGCCAGTTATGAAAATATCAAGAAAAAGCACCTTGACAAGGAAATGGGCTAAAGACCTGGGATTGAGAATAAGAGGTTCTCAATATTACGAAAAATAGGAAATACCAATTTGGCATTGATGTATGACAGGCGTTAAAAAGTACTGGTTCAGAATATGCAATGAGCAAAGTTGATGAAGATATGATCTGCCATCCAGAAATAGAGAATAGAGATTCTTCATAAACAAATATAGAATTCAGGTGGAGAGTTTATTAATGCCCTTCGATGGGTACTGGTGTAAAATCCCAAGGGATATGGGCGAATCAATATTCTGCAACCATACCTCATGAGAGAGGAGGACTTACCAAAATTGCATGCGTAATCAGTTTTTGAACAATAGACACTTATTGGATTTAGGGGAATCACTGAAACCCCATCTTGCATTTTGCCCCACTCTGGTATTGAACAAGAGTCCATATAAGCAAATGCATGAAGCCAAGAAGTTAGTTTATCTGCAGTCCATCTAAAGTTCCTGTTTGAGATTTGTTTATGGAGCAACCCACTTGCTCAGACTCTGCCCACATGATTCCAGCCGATTATAAAGAACTAACTTTGAAGCAAAGTTAACTTCACTCTTGTACCAACAAATTTAACACAGACTACACCGACACGAAAGAGCCAAAACGAACTCAACACTAAAAACCAGAATTTCATAATTCAGCTCCAGGAACTTTCCCAAGTGTCACACACAATTAAGATGGGTTGGGAAAATACTGTACAAAAAAAAGAGAACTGATATAAATTGAACTTTATTATTTTTCTATCCATGTGTCATCTTATTTATTTTTATTACTTTTATGCCTTCACCCTGTGGATCAATTTAGCGTGACCCCAACAGTCATTCATGCCTGACCACTCTATAATTTTAAAATACACAACATGGGATACGGCAAGGTTAGGATTGGAGTGGTTACATTTAGTAACCAGTTACCGTGTTACAAGTCTTAGACAACAAGAGGATCAAAGAGCAGTTGCATTTGGTTGCTACGACCAAGGACCAACAGCTCCGAAAGTAACACAAACTTGATAAACCTGTTTTCCTGAAAAATTGTTTTAAGGGAAAAATTTTTGTTGCATAAGAGTAAGTGTCGTTGCCAACACTGTGGTTTGAAACTAGATCGCCAGTATTGCTCACTGGCGATTCCATTACTAAGTAGATGACATGATCATAAAGGAAGTGAATAAATAGTAAGTAGTGGGATGACTGTACAGATCACTGTTCACTCTTTTTGTCTATCCACTATTGCTATACGTTCACTCTCTTTACTACTATACAGATTACGATTCTATTCTAATCATTATACTATTTGGCGATTACTAGTGCGGATATTATTGGAAGGCGTTACTACTAGTACCAGCATCTACAAAGTCTCGAATATAATGAGAATTTTTAGAAGTGATAACGAGCTTTCACTTGACATAGCAAAAGTGACAAACGAAGCCATCCAACATCACAAAAATTTTATAAATTTCAATTGAAAACATTGCTGGGTACTTGTTCAATGAATGCCAAATGTTTCCTTTTCAGGAAACAGTTAATATTACTATTACTATTGGAAATTACTACACAAGACTACTTATGGTGTATTTTGGTGAATACAATTAGATTTATAAAACTGTAAAGTATAATGCTAATGTACATCCTTGGCACCGGCTTTTTTTATACCATCATATCATGACATATTTGCGGATCATGATAATTTCTTACCAAAGACAGCTTTATGGTGAAAAAATAACAACGAGAATTGATACATTCCTGCAGCTGTTCATTTAAACTTAAATCCTTCCACCCCAAGCAAGGCAATAAAGCTACTAAGATGGAATGAGTTGTTGAGTGTGAAAGAATATGAGAAAAAGAAAACATTAAGGAGTGAAAACAATAAAAGAACAACAATTAAGAATGCAGAAGATAATGATTGATATCACATTTAAATTTTTGAAGATCAAAGTTGACTGGAAGGCAAGAAGCCAGAAGAGAGTTCCACAAGTGAGAAATGCAATAGAAGAAACTCTCAGCATAGAACTTACGGTTATACCTAGCCATTTCAACTGTAGAATGATGAGACTTTGTTGTTAATCTAGTACTGCACTTAAATTGAATATCTCAGTTCAAAAGAGGAAAGCTTACCAGAACAATAACCATGAAAATATTTATAGAAAAGCAAAAGAAAGCTATGTTACAGTTGGGGGGGGGACTGAATGAAGCAGAGATGCCAGATCAGGACCAATAACATATGCAGATTCTTTTTGTATTTCATCAAGAATCTCTAAATATATATAGTCTTAAATAAAAGCATGGAATGGACATATGTGTCGCAGCTGCCTTTGGCTGCTCCCTAAAACGGAAGAGAACAGGGCACTTCGGCCTTGACCTTTTTTGATCATGTTCCCTACACACTGTGTAATTTAGTCTCATTTCATTTTAGAATTGAGCTAACTACTTTTTAGTTCCATCTGTGTTACGAACCTAGTTGTAATACACCTCTTAAGTATTTTTAGACCTTTATTTTTTCATAGCAAATCCCAACACATTTTTAGAGAGATTTTTTAGCATTTTTGGAAGACCACATCCATCATTGGTCTCCCTTAACATAACACGGCAACTTCTTGCCAAATTCGGGGTTAGTATGCAGACTCCTGGCCTTTGTGGCCAGGATGCCAACCTGGGCTGCATATTAAGTTACGCTCCCATTTTTTTTTGTCTGCCAACTGGATGCGAGTTGGGTCTATCTTTCTTTCTTTTTTTTTACTTCTGGCTCCTTGCCCATTTTCAACTCTCGGCATCCCGTCCCTACTGGCTGCCTGCATGTTGTCCATAACCTTTCCCGTACACTACAGTTATGATTACTACAGGAGGTTTTGATATCGAACTCAACCAGCAGACACACAACACCAGACATTCGATATGCTCAAGAACATCACAACGCCAGCTTCCCAGCACTGACCAGATACCATTGCCGATACTGAGCACTGCATTGCAACACCAGCTCCCTGTTCCTGCCTGACATGTCCAGTCCAAAACCCGACCAGCTAACCAGCAGCGATCACCTGCAGCAACCAACCGATCAGCAGCAGCGATCAACGATCACCTGCGACAACCAGCAACAATCATCTGCAACGACCAACCTTTCCCGTATATTATCGGTTGTAATTACTATGGGAGTTTCAGCACCGACCTCAACCAGCAATGCCTGCACTTCAACTTTCAACCATCGACATGACCGGAATGAATGCACCTCAGCACCCCGTTGTCGACCTCAATGTCCAACTGTCAACACAACCGGAACATCTGCATCTCAACTCCCAATCGTCAACATGGCTGAAATATCTGCAGCTCAACTGCCAACCATCAACATGACCGGAAACGTCTGCACCAACTCTAACCTTTGACATGTCCAGTCCGACCACCTTTCAAATACTAGACCAATCTAACCCACAGCCTCTGCTTTATAAATAAACTTAACATTAATCATACATATCCTCATTCTGTTGTCCATCACCTGTCAGATTTCACTTCTTTAATTCAAGAAATGTTAGTGGGCTTCTTATGACCTCATCTACTGATACAATGGCACTCAGGCCGTTGTTTCATATTATGCTCCCCTCCAAGAGGGTCTGTTACATATGCATCTGAAACAATACACCACATGCAATAAAACTCACATCTGCATTGTCTGGCAGTAAACATGTTACTATTTAATTTTTTCAAGTAATATTTTAAGATATACTTACCAGGAGAAAATTTTATATCTGAGATTTCTTCTTTTCTGTGATGGAAAGCAGCAATTTCATTCATACTGTCAAAACTAAAAACCTCAAAACTCCCTAAAATGAATCAAAATAAACAAAATATTATGGGATGTTATAAAATATAAAAGTATGGACAAAAGCATGCATGTGGATAATTAATAGACAATCAACACATATTTGGGGGAGGGGTTATATATCAAGGTTTTTCACATCATCCTGAAAACATTATGAATGGAAGTGACATTTTCTGGAAATAATTGTCCTTTATTATCTACTTTTTACTTTCTATAGATTTGAAAATAAAATCAAGAAATGAACAATTCATAAGTTTTATTTAAAATAAACAATTCTTGTGATTTATGTAAAATAAACAATTTATTAGGTTAATACAGAATAAACAATTCATTGCATTCACTTAATAGTCCTAAAAAAAAAAAAAAAAAAACATTGATGCAAGTAATTCAGATATGTTGAGGAAAAGCCATAACATACTTCCTTTATATGAAAAGTTCTTGAATTAATAAAGAAAACAGCTGTATAATAAATTACAAAGATCAACACTAAAAGTTGCAGTATATTATAATTGTTTTATTTTATCATCAGTTATTATTAATTTTTTATTGTGTCAAATAAGAGTAAGAATTAATCTGTTATCCATCACATAACTTTTATTACAGTCTATTGTTATAATTATTCTATTTTATTATTAACTATTGTCATTAATTTCTTACCATGCCTAATATCTTTGATAAAATGCATCTGTCACATAATTTCATTCTTATATATTCTATTTTATTATTTATTTCTGTTAATCTCTTATTGTCTAAGTTATAAATTAAAATTTATTGTATAATTATGAATAAGAAAAATAAAACAATATATATTGTGTTATATACCATCTGCAATTTCAAGTATCCACTGAGTGAGATTTAGAACAAATAACTTGCAGATAAAAGGGAGACTACTGCACTTACTTACAATTCATATGAAAGTTACAAGCATGCATATGAACAAGGGAGGTAAACACATTAGCAGAGCAATGTGGATTTAAAAGAATTAAGTCGAAAATAATTTTAAATTCATCTTCTATTATTCCACAGGCTATTATTTATGTTACGCCTTAATATCACAAATAAAATTTATTAAACAAATACGCCAAAATTTTGGCTCACTTGAATAATTCCATAAGGAATGACACAGCAAATTCTAAAATTTTTTGAAAGAAATTCATTGAAAATTAATTTACTATAGAAATGCATTACATTTACTAAATATATCAAAACTTTCATTCACTCTAATGTTTATGTACAGAGTGAAAAAGTGAATATCAAAAGCTTATACAGAAATCCATAGCGAATTATTTGATTATGGAAATAAACTGCCAGTCATTTTGATATGTTTCTGTCTTATGGGTACATATAACCTTTTGCAGCATTACATGTGAATAAAGAGAGCCTTTTGTAACATTCACTAATTTTCCTTTTCAAGGTCAGAGAGAAGGCATGTAACATCTTTTTATACATCAGCAGCATTTTCTCTTCCTAAAAAATAAAAACTTCTGGCCATTAGTCTCAAAAAGGACCTCCCACTGGTTGTAGACTGGGTCACGAATTGGCAGGTTAACTTTAATGCCTCTAAAACAAAATTGCTCTCCATTACTCACCACTGGGAACCCTCCCTGCCACTCATTAGAATGTCTGATGCTCAACTCCATGAGAGCACCTCTTTATGATTGCTTCGTCTCACACTGTCCACTGATCTGAGATGGAACAATTACATTGAATCAATAGCTTCATCGACTGCAAGGAAAGTTGGTTCCCTGTGTTGTGCCAAAAAGTTTTTCTTGCCGAGTCCATCCTTCAAATCTACAAATCAACCATTCGCCCTTGCATGGTCTACTGCTGCCGTATATGGTCTGGTGTCCCCGCTGTTTGCCTTAAGGTCCTCGACAAGATCCAGAGACAGATAAGCAATGTGGTTGGTCCTGATCTGGCATCTTGTCAACAGTCACTCTCTCACAGACGTGCCATCGCCTCCCTCTGTCTTTTCTACAAATACTTTCATGGTAACTGCTCCAATGAGATACTATCACTACTTCCCAGACTGCATGAATTTAAGCGTGCTACTAGGTTGGCATCACGGTCCCACTATCGAAACAGTTAAATATGGCCGTCTCTTCTACTCCAATAGCTTCATGTCTCGCACCTCCCGTCTCTGGAATTCCCTTCCTATTGTTTGTTTCCCTGATAGCTATAATCTCCAACTATTCAAATGTAATGTCAATTGACATCTCCAGATGCCTTGAACTATCCACTGCCCTTCTCTTCATCCTTTCCTCCATCAAGCCTCTTTACTTGCTCCCACTCTGTAACCCCCTGTGTACTAGTGGCATCCCACCTTGCTTGGGGTGAAATGCTTAAAAAATAAATAAATAAAAATATTATAGCCATCTTTTTATTTTTTTAATAAATATGTGCGTAATTACTTGCATCTTGCATCCAGATATTATGAAGGCCATATAACAATATTACATATGCCATGTTACTTCAGGATTTGAATAATCATGGCTCTTCACAATTTCCTGTTTTTTTTTGTTTTTTTGTTTTGCTTTCAGTAATGTTTCTAATTATTCAAATTTGGACTATTACCTTCATATCATACGTGTTGTTATCATAATATTTCCACTGCTGTGTCCACCGGCCTTTATCAGGTACTTCTCAATGTGGATAACCTCTAGGGAATTTTAAACAGAAAACTTTATTTATTCTATAGGGGTAGACTGTTCTTGTTCTGTTACCTATATCAAGGGATATCTTGTCTAATTCTAATTTAGTATAGTTATATCTCACTCTGTTTCCAATGAGTCTAAACAGTTGAGGGATTAAACTCACAATTACATTATGATAATAACAACAAAGATAAGGACAATAGTCAGAGTGTAAATAATGATAACTCCTCATCCCAAAAATTATGCCAGTGAATGCTGGACAATTTCCTCACAGATAAAAAAGATTTGAAGATAGAAAATAATTCATTAGAACCAAAGAAAATCATATTAAACTGTTATGTAGTATCAAATCTCTTATAAGGTAGAGGATGCTGAACAATCTCTTCACAGATACAGATTTTAAGTGGTAGAGATGTGGTTCTACTGACAAATGTTGGAAATGCCATAGACAGATCATGCAAGCAATGAAGAAAGAAAGCTTATGACTGTCTTGAGTTAATGGTTAAATAAATCCAGCTAGAAAGCATATCTTTCTCTTATTCTTCTATCTTTGCATATTCTCTGAATTCATTCTCTATCTCAATGCTGACTATTTATCCCCAGTAAATGTTATAGATTACTCAAATTACTTTCCAGTGTAAATCAAGCTTTGCTAGTATTTCAAGTAACTCTTTGTGTTGTATCGTATCAAATGTAATCTATTGTTCTCAAATCTTCTCATCCCAGAAATTCAGACAGAAAGTAAATTTTCCCCTTTACCATCCTTCTTTGTCCTTGTTGTAGTTTAAATAAAGTAACAGTCTTTTGTTTTGACTTCCGAGTTTTCTTTTTTCTTTTCTTACACTCTTCACTTGGCATTTTCAGCAATTGAGCAACTGGCAAAAATCCTGAATGGGGTTAATCCTGAGTGACAAATTTTTTCAGGCAATAGTCAAAAAATTCACTCACGAGAAAAAGCCTAGGCTTTTATAGAGCTCCACTGGGTGATCTTACTCCAGTCAACATGTGTGACATCTCCATTAGAAGCTAAAATCTTTAGCTGCTTGACTGAATGTTGTTAGATCACTGCCTGCTCTAGGCAATAAATTTTACTTTTATTTTTCTCTTCAACCACAGTAACTTTTCATCATTTACCATCCTTCTTTGTCTTTTTCCTGTCATTCATTCCTTCAAACTCATTAAGTAGATTACTTGCTGATTCACCTTACTTCTCTTGTTTCCACATATGTCCTGTAAGTGTTAAATTCTCTAATTATTTATCATCAAATTCACACTCCTCCCTGGTCTTTTGAGAAATAGAGGCTTATTCCTTGTTTCCTGTTTAGGATTAGGTTTCCAGTTCCTTCTAAAGTCTACTTCAGTTCTACACTTCTAATAACTCCTCATAAACTCTAAAATTTTATCTAGTTCTTTTTTTTTTCAATAGTAGTAGATAGCTTCACTTACCTGGTTCATACCTATCCCTGGTCTTTTGAGCAGAAGTAGACGTTTATCACATGTTTCCTGTTAAGAGTTTGGTTTCCAGTTGCTTTTAAAGTCTGTTCTTTCTCTTTTACTACCAGTAACCCGTTACTTTTTGCTACCATTTTAGTGGCATTATTACTTAGTTTGACATGAATTGATTAAAATAGATATATTTATATATATATCCCAGAAATTTTAGCAGTTTCTTTCCAATTGTTAGCATCTGTTTCCTAATAGTTCCTATTCAACATAAATTTTTCTTCATTGCTCATATTCTCCACCCATTTTATTCTTAAATCTTCTTCATATGCTCCACCCATCTTATTCACATGGAGCCTATGAGGAAGGTTTAAGAATAAGATGGGCGGAGCATGAGGAAAATGCTCCACCCATCTTATTATTAAATCTTCTGCATTGCTCCACCCATCTTATTTTCAACATTTATCAATAGAACCACATCCCTGTTGCTTCAAGTTTAGCTAAAGAGCTTCTTCATACATATTTGTATTATTATACAAATAGATATTAGTTTGGTTTGGTTTCTTTTACAGCATATCAACCTCAATGGGTTATTTAATGCCGACAAAATTTTAATTGCTGGTAATATTTTTTTTCGAAAATGTATTGCTTGTAATAGTTTTTTTTTCTTCAAAAATTTATTGCTGGTAATAATTTTTTACAAAGTATTTCTGGTATTAAAACCTATTTTACACATTCATAGTGTTTTTACCCCAGTTACATGGTTAACTATTTGGCCATAGCTGGGACCCTAACAGGTGCTACCACCCCAAGTCAGGGTGAACCTGGGAACATCAGCAATTAAGAGGTGGTTCCATGCTCTGCAAAGCCTCCTGATCAGAGGCCTTGCTGCTAGACATAGTTTATCATCTTACCCAGGACACAGATGTAGTTTATTGTCATACCCAGGTTGGGAAATGGATATTAGATCTGGAAAATAAACCTTAAATGTATAAAAGCAGAGAATGATAAAATTTACCATCTTTGAAACCAACTGCAAGAGCTTTGCCATCTGGAGAGGAGGAGACACATCGAGCGGCTCCCTTTAATACTTTATAATTGACCATTTTGTGTTCACCCGAGGTAGTCCATACTCGCAGAGTTTTGTCATCACTGACTGTTACACACAGGTCACTTGAGGGAAGGGTGTCCAGACCCCACACTTCTCCCATCTTATGCCCCTAGAAAAAGAAAAATGTAAAAATTAAAAAATTTTGCATTAAGAAGCATATACTTGTAATAATAGAAATATAAATGAATAAAAATAAACAAATAATAACAAAGAAACAAAAGTTTCACCATCTTTAAAAATAGATGTATATTTAGAATTGTTAGGCCATGAAGTCATATTTCAACCAACCAATCCAAAGCTGTCATGACCAGAATACGATCATCCTAGCTTTGAAAGTGAATCAGAAAGAAAAGCTGCTCCCAACCAGGATATAAGGTCACTAATTGTGAACTAATGAGAAGCAAAGCTGCACCTTCGAAGTAGATCTCTAAATATGCATATAATAAAGATTTCAACCTAAATCAGAACTGATGAATTAATTTTATCCATTCTGCAATCATCATAACATATCCAAAGCCAAAATACCAATCACTGGCAACCTTAGATGTTCACACAGTCCTGTGTTGACACTAAACATACATACTTTCTTCACCCACATATTTAATCAGGCAGGTACTTCATTTGAATACATACATAAATATATATATATATATATATATATATATATATATATTAATTAATAAATATACATATTATCCCTCACTGCTAGCATGACTTGGAGTTTAATGCACAACACAATCTTCAGGTGTTGAGTATGAATTAACCATTATGCTATTTGAATTTTAATATATCAGGTTATCACAATGTTGGTACAATTATATATTATGCTGGAAATACTGTTTTTTAATTTTAAAAAATTATATTTGGCAATTAAAATAAACGGGATCTATATATGTATGTAAGAAAAAAATATAAAAAATAAAATAAAATTATTTTTTGAGTTGTGAATATAAATGTTTTATTTTAATTTTTAAAGGGAGATTACTTCTTAATTAAGGGAGATTACTTGTTCTTATTTTTATATATATTTCGAATCTCATGGATTCACTGCCTTGCTCAGTGGTTCTCAACCGATTTTGGGCCATACTTTAGTATTTCTAAAATTCTGGTGCACCGCCGTAATATTTAATTCTTACATATATGCCAATTACACATGTACGTACATACACACAAAATATTTTTTATGTATGCATACTGTATATGCATTGTATGTATTAACACACTAACATCCTCACTAAGACTAACTCGAAAACAATTCACTGTTAATAACTCATTCTCGAACTGCCCCCTTATTCTGTTGGTATAGTAAGCTGAAGGGTGCACATCTTACGCATGCCCCACCAAAATATTACCATGCCCCCCATATTGGGAATCATTGGTCTAGCTTATGGCTATATACATTGAAAATTCTAGGTGCTGTAAGCTTAGGTGTACTGATCATGAGTTGGAAATCAGAGAGCTGAGTTCCAATTCCAGTCTGGATTTATTATATTCATTTATGTACAAATACTCTTGGGTTTGAATGTCACTTGGAGAGATTGTCTGACCAATGAGCAATTCTATGAGAACCTTCATCCAGTATCAGACATCATCAAAGAGTGTAGAGTCAGATTCTGTAGTGAAAGAGATAATCAGGTACCCTGAAAAAAAAAAGTTTGTGTTTTGTGTGCGATCTGCCAAAGAAAAATTACCAAAAAGTAGTCAGCAAAAATGTACATCAATGACTAGAAGCTATGCTAATGTTCTTCCCTCCCCTGAATGGTGTGACCAATCAGAAAATTCTCTCGGTGAACAGAAGTTGTTGTTTTTCACTTATAAAAGGAGATGATTTTTTTGAGTTATGAGACGAACACACGTTGTTGTTGGTGAGAAGTGAAGGTTAGATTTGTGACCCCATTTTGTCGTCTCTATGGTGTGTGTTTGACTGTTACATTGGACTATCGTGTGAACTGCGTTTTGGCTACAAGTGTTGCGGCCGAGAAACAAGAAATCTATTGCTGTTGCTACGATCAGTTGACAGTCTTTTCTTTACCTCAACAGATTCACAGGGTATTGCTGCAGAGCTAAAGATGAAGCAGTTGGTGAAGTTCTTTTGTTGGAGCCTAAAGAAAGAGCTAGCAGAGGACGACAAGCCAAAACCTATATCAAGCAGATTTGTAATAACATGAACTGCAATCCCTCTGATCTGCTGAATATGATAATAGAATTGGATGCTGACAGAGAGTCATGGGAATCTATGCAAGCAGTACAACTGGATGATGATGATGATGATGATGATGATGATGATGATGAAAAAAAAAAATTTTTAATCAACTGTTTTTTTATCAATTGTTGGTGTCTTCCTATATAACTTGTATCTGATAGTCAATCCATACATTTTCATACCTGTGTTAAAATGAACATGGGGCCATCCTTCTCTATTTCCAGAATCTCTCCATTTTTAGTTCCTACCAAAATCTTCCCATGCCCCAGCACAACTGTCCGAACTGGGGGGCAATCTTCAATGAGGATTCCTCTTGATCCCTGGGTGAAAGATGCTCGTTTGATGGCATACGTCCTCAAACATTGTTCAAATTCTCCATCCCAAAGGCTGACGTTTCCATCCTTTCCTCCGGTCACAAAACCCTGAAAAGAGAATATAAAATGAAAATAACCTTGTTTCTGTTGTTTTTATTATTCAGAAGATTATCTTCGTATTTTTGTTATTAACTCCATAAACCTACAACTGTAGGCTCTTCAAGCATACACTCACAAAAAATAATGATAGGTGTAAATATTGCCATGGCAAAAACAGAAAATCTTTATTTTATTACATTAGTTCATTTATTCATGTATTAACCTTGTACCGTCTGGCGGGCAGGTAAACAATACTTGGGATATATCGACTGTTACCTCTCTCATGACAAACTAATTTTGAAACTTTACTAAAGAGCAAAAACAAAAGGGTAATCAGGATAGAAGATAGCAATTGACATTGCATTTAACTTTTTGAAGTTCCTGGAAGGCAGGAAACCAGAAGAGAGTTTCACAACTGAGAAATGCAAGAAAAGAAACTATCACCAGTCTAGTACTGTGCTTAAATTCATAAAGCATAGTACCCTGGTGAAGATCATTATTCTGTTTAAACTACAGAAATGTGGCACAAGACCAATATGAGAAATTTTTTTTTGGGGGGGGGGGAATGGTCTTCTGTCTTAAAATTTAAACTTAGCTAGCCACAATCACTGATCCAAACATACCACAATATTCCTTACACCAAAACAATGCATTCTTACTTACCATACTTCCAACATAATACCTCAATGTCTCTATGAAGTCCTAACTAGTCCCCTTGTGGAATCTTCCACAACAAACCAGCCTTACCTCTTTTTAGGAAATGCACTCTTCCTATCTGGTAAGTAACATTCTACTTTCATACAATATAACAAGTATTCATTGGTCAATCACCTCCAATCTAGCTTGTTGATTAGTCAGTTCCGACCAATCAAACCACCTGCACGCGACCAATCTGTTTTTCCTGCATTCTCCGTTTGAGCCTCTCACATGGTACATGACCATTATATAAACCGAACACTTGTGAACTCTTAGAGTAGTTTTTCATTCATCTCTCTTGCACTTCTCATTCCTTGCTACCAAGTGCCAAAATGTAGCCATCAGGAACTCCCGTCTTAGTCATTGCTGACCAGACGTTAAAGATAATTACCAACATTCAAGAACTCTGAAATCACTCCTGAACTTTTACCAACTTTAGAACTCACAATTCCAAACTTTATTCTCCTAAATTACAGTTTAATATTACTTCTTTTTAATATGAACTCAGGTACAACTAATACCTAATCAAAGGGACACAACTCTGTCCTACCTTTTCAGTTCGCATACATGTACATCAAACATTAATAAATCTAATTGTTATGTTTTGGAATCATTCAGTTCAGTTTTGTATTTTATTCTATGTGCTATTTATGTCAAGTATAAATTGCATTGTGTTCACGCATTGTCCTGAATCTCATCTTTCCTAGCCAAAGTTAAATATTGGTAACACATACTACTACATATATTGGTGACACCGACGTTCAAGGAATATATAAGCCATTACACATTTGGTGATTCCATCGGAATTAAACAACAAAATGGTAAGATAAACTACTACACCCTTATGTACAATTCTTGGTTGTGGTGGGTGGGGAATATAACAACAATTTAAAAATCTAATCCCCCCCCCCCTGTTGAAGAGCTCATTTGAACAGTTGCCATAGATATATTTATAGAAAAGCACAGGGAGACAATTTTATGGTGGTGGGGAGGGGCTAAAGCCAAGATACCAGTGGACAAAATTTTCACTTTATCCAGCAAGAACTTTGTCTCCAATTTCTACATCACTCAGGTCTTCATATGGGAACTAGTGTTTCAATATGATGTGACTAAGTTAAGCATTGCCAAGCCTGGTCAGTACATAGATGGGTGACCACTTGGAAATACCAGGTGATGTAAGCTTGTATGTGCAGGTTGTGTAATTGATAATAGCTTGGAATTGTTAATCAGAAAGCCAAGTTCCAATTCACATTCAGTTCTTTATATTCACTTACAGCACAGAAAATGGATCGATTCTTCTTTATTTCAATATCTCCATTATATGTATTTAATTCTAAGTACATTATAAGTACATTATAAGTACATTATAAGTACATCTAAGCACATTTCAATACATTCTAAGTACATTTCAGTACATTCAAAATACATTTAAGTACATTCTAAGTAGAATATAAGTACATTCTAAGTAGAATATAAGTACAATCTAAGTAGAATATAAGTACAATCTAAGTAGAATATAAGTACAATCTAAGTAGAATATAAGTACAATCTAAGTACATCAAAGTACAATCTAAGTACATCAAAGTACAATCTAAGTACATCAAAGTACAATCTAAGTACATCAAAGTACAATCTAAGTACAATATAAGTACATTCTAAATACAGAAGTACAATATAAGTACATTCTAAATACAGAAGTACAATATAAGTACATTCTAAATACAGAAGTACAATAAGTATTCTAAATATAAGTACAATATTACATTCTAAATACAGAAGTACAATATAAGTACATTCTAAATACAGAAGTACAATATAAGTACATTCTAAATACAGAAGTACAATATAAGTACATTCTAAATACAGAAGTACAATATAAGTACATTCTAAATACAGAAGTACAATATAAGTACATTCTAAATACAGAAGTACAATATAAGTACATTCTAAATACAGAAGTACATCTAAGTACATTCTAAATACAGAAGTACATCTAAGTACATTCTAAATACAGAAGTACATCTAAGTACATTCTAAATACAGAAGTACATCTAAGTACATTATAGGTACATCCAAAGTACATCTGAAGTACATCCAAAGTACATCTAAGTACATCCAAAGTACATCTAAGTACATCCAAAGTACATCTTTTTGTTCCCATTTCCCTTAAAACTTTCTTGTTGTTTACATATTCCACCCATTGTGTTCTCAGCATTATTCTGTAGGACCACATTTCTGTTGATCCAAGTCCCTTCTTCATCTGTGAAGAAACTGTCTAACATTCACTGACATATTGGAAGATTGATATTACATAGTTGTTCAGCACTGCTTTCTTTGTTTATGTTGAAATTTTCTTATTTCTTTGTTTAACTTTTGGAAGGCATTTTTCAGTATTTTAATATGCTTTCAGATTTCTTTAAAATTCATGAATGAATACTTGGAAAAAATAAGAAATAAATACCAGTTATAAATAAAAATGTCTTACCTTTTCCAAAGAGTGCATTGCAAAGCATGGACCATTATGTGCTTTGACTGTTTTTTGCAAATTGGTTCCAACCCAATGAAAGACATTACCATCACTTCCCCCTGAGTAACAACAATCCACAGATTTTCCAAATGCAATGCACAGCATATCACACATCTTGGAGGTTTTACCAAAGACACCACGTTTGGAAGTAAAGCCACCACCTAAGTATTTAAAACAGAAATACAGTTTCATAAATCATCATTGAAAAAATACAAACAACAGGTGAAGAAGAGATTTGAAGCAACAGAAATGTGGTTCTACAAAAAGATTCTGAGCATACCATGTGAACAACATTTTAAAGAAAAAAAAAAAACTTAACATCAGGAAGAGACAGTTGAAATTTCTAAGGCACATGATGCAGAAAGAGGGCTTGGAAAATTTGATACTCACAGGACAGATTGAAGGCAAGAGAATCAGAGGAAAGCAATGCATAATCTACCCGGCGAGCTTGAGTGAATAGATGGTGGAACAAGGTTTACGACAGATAACAAAAAGACAATATTTATTAAAAGCTACAAACAACAGGAAGTTGTGGAGAGCCATGATCACCAACGTCCAGAAAGGACATGGCATAATCTAAGAGAGGTAATCATAACTGAATATCATTTGCTCGAAAACTGGTTTCACTAAAACCGCTAAATCGAATCTTTACGTCTTTGAATGGTTCATTTCATCAGAAAAATCAAATTTATAAAAATTAAAGGGAGATAATTTTTATATTTGAATAGACCTTTTTACAAATTTAAAAAATTTTCTTGTTTATTTACGATAATAACTTTTTCTCCATAAATTCATTACTCAAGTCTTCATTTAGATAAAAATGTTGTTTAATATTTTGTTTTCATTCTATGAATACTTAGAAAAGAAATAAAAAATTATGAAAAATTAACCCATTTAAATTATTAATTATTTCCTATCTAAGCAAAAATACATACATAAATAAATTAAATATTTAAAAAAGTCTTCAGTATTAATTTTTGTTACTCTTTTTTTTGATTTTAATATTTAAAATTTAATATTTTTTTATTTATATTTTATTTTCCTTGCCAGGAAAAGGTACAAACAATTTTATAAAAGCACCATTCAAATATAAGTTATCTCCCTTTAATTTCAATGACTTGAACCATTTGACAAAGTAAAGATTCAATTTAATGGTTTTGGCGAAGCTAAGTTTCAGACAAATGTTAAATGGGGCAAGGAGTGGCATGTTAATTTTAACACCTCCAGAACAAAACTGCTCTCTTTTAATCATCTGAGAGAACCCTTTTTACCCTCCATCAGTATGGCTGATGCTAACCTCCAGGAGAGTGACTCATTGTGTCTTTTTGACTAATGTTTTCCACTGATATGAAGTGGAAAGAGTATATTGAATCCATTGCTAAGCCTGCACCTAAGAAAGTTGGTTCACTCTGTCAAGCAAGACAATTTTTATTGCTAGAATCTATCTTATATATTTATAAGTCTATCATTCATACATGCAGGCATTGAATATTACGGATACATCTGATCTGGTGCTTCTTTGATATATTTAGAGATTCTTGATAAAATACAGAAGAATCTGCAATTTTATTGGTCCTGACCTGGCATCTCATCTTCAGTCACTTTCCCACTGTTGTATCAGTTTCCATGAGGCTTTTCTATAAATATTTTCATAGTAATTGTTTTGATGAGCTTTCCTCTATGGTTCCTAGATTTTATGAATTTAAGCGCAGTACTAGATTGGCAGCAAGGTCTCATCATTATACAGTTGAAATGTCTAAATGTAACCATAAGTTCTATGCTAACAGTTTCTGCTATCACACTTTTCACTTGAGAAAGTCTCTTCCAGTTTCTTGCTTTCCAGTCAACTTTGATCATTTTAAAATTTAAATACAGTATCAATCTTTATTGCCTGTCCTCTTAATTCTTGTTCTTTTATTGTCCTCTCTCCTTAATAGTGTATTTTTCTCATAGTCTCTAAAACTCAGTAACCCTTTGCATCTTAGTGGCTTCATCACCTTGCTTGGAGTGAAATGATTTTTTTTTTAATTATCTATGATGAACTCGACCCTAAATCTAGAAAACTGAAATTTTTTAAAGTTACAGTGTATAGCATCAAAATGTCCTAGAGATACTAAATTCTTTCTCCAAAATACCCACTGCAACTAAAAGCTACAAAGGGCGGGAAGTTGTGGAGAGCCATGATCACCAACGTCCGGAAGGGATGTGGCATATACAAGTTTTAATCTCGGGATGTAATTGTAATAAATATCATTTGCCCAAAAGTGGCTTCACTATAACCATTTAATCAAATCTTCACTTTCCTCATTTTATCAGAAAATTCAAATTTAGAAAATTAAAGGGAGATAACTTTTATATTTGAACAGTTCTTTACCACTTATCTATAATTTAAAAATTTATTTTTCACATTTGTTTCTATTATGTCTTTTGAAACAAAATAATCATGAAACATTTAAATGCAGCAAACTGGCTAAATGAATTTTTTTTAAGCATATCACCCCAAGCAAGGCGAGAGTGCCACTAGCATGCAAGGAGTTGCAGAGAGTGAGAGCAAGTGTCAAAAGGGGGGTTTGACAAAAGGATAAAGAGAAGGACAGAAATCAAGATCAAGGCATCAAAAGATGTCGATAGACATTATATTTGAATATTTTAAGATTATAGCTATCAGGGAAGCATGGAAGAGGAAGGGAGTTCCACTCTCGAGAAGTGTGAGATAAGCTGTTGGAGTAGAAGAGACAGCTACATTTAACTGTTTTGACAGTGAAAGGGTGGGACTGAGATGTCAACCTAGTAGCATGCTTAAATTCATGCAGTTTTGGTACCAGTGAAAGTACCTCGTCAGACCAGTTGCCATGAAAATATCTGCAGAAAAGACAGAGGGAAGCCACAGCACGTCTGTGAGAAATTGACTGTAGATGTGAGGCCAGATTAGGATTTATCACATTGCAAAAAAAAAAAAAAAAAGTAGGATCATAGCTACACTGAGAACTATGCAATCAAAACAGATTCAATTTAAATAAAAAAGTTATGCAAACAAAAACATCAGCTCTCCAAGAAAAAGAACTATGATTCAGACAGACCAATTTGGTTAAAAAGATCATTTCCAATTGATGAAAACAAGTGAAAGAGGAGATGTCAAATCTGTCAGGTTAGCCCACCTCCTAATTTTTTAAACTGCTACTAGGGGATGCTCTCCAGACTATAAATACTCCACAATATTTTTTATCACTCTATTCTTACCTTATCCACTTATTCGTCAACATGTAAATCTTTCACACAGAACACACTTACCTTTGGGAAACACATGAACAATATACACACACACATATATATATATATATATATATATATATATATATATATGTGTGTGTGCACATTCACTTACTATACATACTTTGGACCCAAAAGGTTTTCATATTCATTTGATACACATCATCTTTGTCCTTTTTGTATACTTTTTCATTTGTTATATATATTTTATATATATATATATATATATATATATATATATATATATATATATTGGTTCTTGTCATTTCTTTACATGGACTCACATCTGCCATTTTTGTTGTGGGTATTTTCAGGAGACAGAATGTTATTCCCAATTTCAAACACTGACATTACTAAGGCCCAAAACAAGTTGGGAAGCACATAACTACCCACAACAGATCACAGAGTGAAGATCAAAGAAAGCGAAAAAGTTACAAAAATACCGGGACCTCACCAGAGAACTGAGAAAACTGTAGAATATAAAAATAAGGGCCATGCTTATAATAATTGGAGCATTTAGAAAGGTATGAAAAGCACTAAAACTGAAATTAGATGAATTCTAAATTTGAAGAAAAATTAAGACTGTCCTCTCAGAATAATATAGTTTAGACTGATAACACTGCTGTGGTCTGTAATAATACTAAGAAAGGTATTGGAAAGTATTGGAAGGAGACTTGCTGTTACTCAGTTTCTTATGATAATCAACAGACATCTGTTGTAAACATGAAATATCAATTATTAGATATTTGAGGAAATTTGCTGTCACTCCATCTCCAATAATAACAAAACCTGGTCTGAACAGGCAAATGAATGAAACACACTGAAAATTACAGATGAAATGTGCTTGAAAAATAGCAATTTTTTTTGCTTGCCTGAGTCCAATCATTTCCTTCGCACGTGTCAGAGTCCAATCATTTCCTTCGCACGTGTCAGAGTCCAATCATTTCCTTCGCACGTCAGAGTCCGGGAGTCCAATCATTTTTCCTTCCAATCATTTCCTTCGTGTCAGAGTCCAATCATTTCAGAGTGTCAATCCAATTTCCTTCGCACGTGTCAGAGTCCAATCATTTCCTTCGCACGTGTCCAATCATTTTTTTGAACACATGTCCAAGACCAAACCTTTCTTTCACACCTGTCCGAGTTCAAACCTTTCTTTCATACCTGCCCAAGTTCAAAAATATTTTTCTTACCTGTTTGTGTCCAAAATTTTATGTGTTTCACTCCAGTTGTGACAATCTGGTTATTATCAATAGGATTCCATTTGATGACAAAAATTTTATCTTTGTGTCCTCTGTAACAATACAAAATTCAACATAAACAACTTGCAGATATGGCTTAAGTGGTAGTACAGTCTATTAATATGGGATCTGTGTACTGTTGCTAGAACTCCTTATTTGGAGCCTGTGCACATACTAATTTATATCTCTTTACAGAAAGCTTGCCATATTATCTGTATAGTTAACCTTGAGTTAATGTAAAAATATTGAAGGTATTGCAATTTTAATTATGATCAGAGTATGAAAGAAGGAAATATAAAAGAAAACTTACTTGGTACTGGCTAATTTCTCTCCTCTTTTCCAATCCCAGACAACAATGGTGTGAGAATCATCCAAGCCTACAGATGCTAACTTCTTACCATCAGCTACAAAAACAAAGAAAAATAAAACTTAGCATGTAATTATTTTTCAATACAAATTAACTCGAATTGCATCTGGTCACAACCCTATTACCATGCTATTCAATCACGTTTGATCACAATGCCATCGCCATGCTATTGAATCACGTTTGATCACGTTTGATCACAATGCCATTGCCATGCTATTGAATCACGTTTGATCGCAATGCCATCGCCATGCTATTGAATCACGTTTGATCGCAATGCCATCGCCATGCTATTGAATCACGTTTGATCGCAATGCCATCGCCATGCTATTGAATTACGTTTGATCGCAATGCCATCGCCATGCTATTGAATTACGTTTGATCGCAATGCCATTGCCATGCTATTGAATTACGTTTGATCGCAATGCCATCGCCATGCTATTGAATTACGTTTGATCGCAATGCCATTGCCATGCTATTGAATTATGTTTGATCACAATGCCATCGACATGCTATTGAATTACAGTTGATCACAATGCCATTGCCATGCTATCTCTAATTAAATGAAGATATTGCTTTGTGTCAGTTTTCACAACTTAGAATTAAGTAAATATAGCATAAAATTGTTATTTTAAGTTTCCAAATGCAATACTACTCTGATGAATCAGAATAATGTGGGCAAGCAAGAAGGGATCACAGCAAGCCACCTACCATCTTGGTCTTGAAGGAATGTTCACATAAAAGAATTTATATATATATATATATATATATATATATATATATATTCATATATAATTGTATATACGGAATGAATTCCAATAACCAACAATTACTATTCGTAAAAGATGAATCAGAATAGATATAATTATTTTTAAAAAAAAATTATAACATAAGTATGTTAAAAAGGGACTACAAAAATATTTTTGTTTCCAACACACTGTGTCTTTAAGTCTTTAAGACACAGAGTGTCTTGAAACAAAATGGCTATTTTTGTAGTGATTTTATACCTTATGTTATAATTTTTTTTTATAAAAAATAATTATATATATATATATATATATATATATATATATACACACACACATACATACATTGTACACTGTGTTAAGCATATTGGCAACATACTTTTCATTATATATATTTTTAAAATGGTTTCCAAACTGTCATTTTATTTCATTTCTCTCATCTTTCATAAATGTTATCAAGTTGCTCACAGACAAAACATTGTTAACCTCTCACTACTCGTGTTATTTTCATGGCAAATGTTTGGCTGAACTACATCCCTAGGTCCCACCAGTCCAGAGCTTCACAACTAGGACTTGCCAGTCCATATACACTGAATCAACAGATTCTCTTTCCTCTCATATTCCATCAATAAGAAGGAAGTTCCATTCAGACAGTTTCTTCCTAGAACTGTTGCAATGTGGAATAGACTCCGAAGAGAATGTTTCCCTTATCCCTACAATCTTAACTTCTAGTCTTGAGTCAACTGTTATCTAGCATACATATCCCTATAATTTGCACTTCTTGCTCCCTTCTTATACACCTTTACAACAACCTCAGTTAACCCTCTACCTTGAGTGGCTCCTCGGCTTTGTACTGAGTGCACAATAGTATAAAAAAAGTTTTTAATAGAAGATAAGTTCACCTATTGTCTGGTTAACACTCCTTACCAGTCTTTGATCTGGAGTAAAGGTTTATCCCTTGTTTCCTGTTTAGGATTGGGTTTCTAGTTCCTTCTAAAGTCTTTTCATTCTCTTTCACTCCCAGTAAACCCCTTTGCATCTTAGTGGCATTATCACCTTGCTTGTGGTGAATTGATTAAAAACAAATATATGTAACCTTGGTCTTATTTTTAAGATTTTTTATTTAGACAATTGAATATTAATTCTGTTTAGTTACTATTGTGGCACCTTGCATTATTAGAAATATTCATAGAAATATGATTTAATTTTTTTATATCGGTTTACTAAACAGGTTGTTATTTTTTTTAAAACGGAAAATAACTGAGTTGAAAATAATTCATAAGATTGTAGACGATCTTAAGGGAAGAAGAAGGAAAGAAAAGAAAAAAAAAGAAAAGAAAGAAGAAGAGAGAAAAGAGTTGTATGATGCATGACCCAATTGAGGGTGGAGATAGGAGTCAGAAAGAGATTTAACATTGGCCGATTTTCGAAATACAATTAAAGAATAGAATTATAAAAATAAGAAGAAAGAAAGGAAAAAAGACATGATATCAAAAACTTTGATGGAAGCCAGATATTCAAAGCATCTGATTTCTGGAGAGACTCATCAATTTGGTTTAGAACAATAGAAATGAAATTTTTAATCAGAGAAAAAGTGTCTTTGGGTTGAGGGGAGGACCAGTGGAACGATATACAGATCTTGACCTGTTAAGAATTGGACACCCACGTTAATAAAGTAGAGACATTTCAATGTAGATAATTAAGATTTTCTTGACTATCTGAAAAACAAAGAGGTAAAAAGAGGGACAATTGCTTTTCTCACAGGTCCCAAGAAGGCGGAAAAGATCCTTTCTAAAGTCAAGACTAATTAGCAGCGGGCTGTTTGACAAAGTCCAGGTGAGAAATAAAGATTGTCACTGAATCAAAAAGGGGCAAATTGATTTTTTTTTTTTTTTTTTAAACAAGAACGATGTCTCAAAAACAGAGGGGAGAGGATTCCATCAATAACAATTGGGAAAGATCCATGCGGAAGAAAAGGGGAAAGAAATGTTCGATCAATAACAATTGTCGAATCACGATCACGTGATGTGAAGAAAAAAAGAAACTCGAAGAGAAATTGGTTTTCACCTTATCCCTGGAGAGACTAAGAGAGATGGATGCGCCGCCCCACCAAAGGTACTGCGAGGAAGTAGGGGCGAAAAAACAATAGCGATAATGGAGAAGACAGAATTATGCAGTTTTTGGAATTATCGAGAAAAACCCTCCCGACAGACCCACCCCAGTTTGTTGCTCCCTTCAGGGCCCCAATCGAAAAAAAATCAGTTCATCCCGGACGGCAGCGTAGAAAAGAACCCTCAGACAAGAAGAACTTCCAGCCCTAGACGAAGAAGAAGAAATACAACTCAAGTCGGCTTTAAAGTTCACTGGACGGCAGTGAGAAGAGTATAAAAAAGTTTTTAAAACAAGAAATCTTCACCTAGTTGAAACAGGAAAACTACCAGCCCAAGCAGACGAAGAAGAAGAAATACAACTCAAGTCGGAGAGAAGAATTTGAATGATGGGATAGAAAAGCCCCAGTTTCAACTGAACCACCTCGACATTACATGATTCTAGAAAGTAGGTAATTGGACATTTTTTATTGTGTGATAGAAGGTTTCATAGTTCCAGAGCGGTCGGGAAATGAGAACAATTTTGTTTTTTTTAACGGACTTTAAGATCTTTCCTTTTATCAGCAATTTTGTTTTTGTCGTGAGTTTTTATTTTATTTGTGTTTTGCCACCCCTGTCGGACTCAATTTTATCACCCGATCCTTGCTGGTGAATTGATTAAGATCTAAAAATATATAGACAGACCCGAGATTGTATAGTCTTTAGTTTTGAAGATTTTTAGGCTGGTGATCATCTGACCAAATTGGAGCGGCACGCTTGGACCCAGGAGGATACCAGGAGGAGCGAATTCTGGCGCCAGAACCAAAGGATTTGGGCCAGGTGTTAACCGTCACACTATTCATTTTCAAACTGACATTGAAGCATTCCTTATTTTGGCCATTTCTTCTAGGAGGCACAGTGGATAGTGGCTCAAATTAAGGAATCAGAGAACAAATTTTGATTTCAATTCAGGTTCACTGCATTCACTTACATGCTAAGACTCTTGGGAAATATATGAATCCGTTTTTTCTCTTCAGCTATGGGTAAATAGCAGAACAGACTTGGCCCTATATCTTTGGTTGTCAACCAGTCTAGAAGGAGGAAAACTGAATTCAAATCACCTGCTGCCTTGTAGGTCCTGCCTCTTTTGTCAAAGGCTAGAAGGCAGCAACTTCAAAAACAAATCCATCTCTAAAGAAGAAACGGGGTAACCGCAATATCATTGTTGCATAAAGAACCAGCAAGCCATTGCACTATTCTGCCTTGAACGTCAACATAAACCACAATTGTTAGATGAAGGAGAATGGTGACCACAACAGCACAAAATGTGCCAACTGAATAAGAATGCTTGTTGTTGCATACATGTTATTTTTCTGTGAGACAAATGTATATATTCATATATAATTAATGTATATCTGGGCAGCAAGCATTCTTTTAAACAATTTTCGTTAAGTATCTGTCTATATTTCTGAGATGAGGTATTATGTAAATTATTTACATTATTTGGACTATTGTCCTCATCTTTGTTGCCATATTTATTACAATGTTTCAGCCGTTGTACGCTCCGGCCTTCTTCAAGGTGGTTGGAATGTCAAACTTAACCCTTTATTTCGTTCACTGGAGTAGACTTTTCTAGTTCCACATGGCATGATTAATCGATGTCAGTTACTTTATTACTATTATTATTCTTATTTTTTTTATATTTACTCTAAGGTTTCTTTATTTATCATTTGTTTTTAGATTTATTTTTATTAAAATTTTGTTACTCTATAATTATATTTTAATTAGTGATAATATTTCCCTTTCTTTTTTTGTAATTATTATTTAACTAAATTATTTCCTTTATTTATTTCTATTCTTAATTTATTCCTATTTGTTTATAAAAAGGTTTTTACATAGTTTTTTCATTTGTTACTTTTCTTTTAAAGAGTTTATTCTTTAAGAAGAAATAAATATATATATATATATATATATATATATATATATATATATTATATTAAAAAAAGAAAGAACAGTAAGATATAATCTGGTATTCTTATTGATATTTTTATTTTTACAAAACAGTACTCAATGTAAATTTACAGAGCATAAATATTATAAAAAAACTTAAAATTCAATTATATAATTAAATCAAAAGCATTAGTTCTGTTTCATCTTCAAGCAAATTTTGGAAATAGAACTAATGCTTTTGATTTAATTATGTAATTGAATTTGAAGTTTTTAGTTTCTGTTTTTGAAACATGGTAATTCCTATGTAGCAATGAAACCATATTTTTTAAATTTATAATAATATATATAATTAATTACTATATCCCTTTCTCTCATATTTGTTCCTAGATATATAATGATATATTATAATGGTTATATATCTAATAATAATACAAAAAAATTTGTATAATATTGTAATAATATGTTATAATAATATGCTAAAAATTATAATAGTATTAGTTGTAGTTATGTAATAATATTTAATAACAATATATGATAAAGATACTATTTAATATAGTAATTTTAATTAAAATAATAGTATTATTTATGATGTGTTGATATAATTAATAATATAATAGTATTATTTAATATAATGCTATGTGGTGTATTGATGTGTGACATATTGATATATATTGTATTATTTGATGTAATGATGTATCAAATAATAATATTATATAATAAGGTATTTCTATTTTATTTACTATTATTTAATATAATAATATTTAATAATATGATATTTAATAATATAATAATATTGTTATTTAATAATGATATAATTCATATAATAATTATATATATTATTTATATTTAATTATTATATCCCTTTTTTCTTTATATTGCTTCCTTTGTTTATTTATCAGTTAATACTTATTACTTACTGAATTATAATTTATATATTTCTTTTAATACTTAACCCGACTATAGTATTTTATACACACTGCTTTATACACATAATTTTTCTAATTTTAAGTGTAGATTTTTCATTTACTCTTCCTCTATTATTCGTTTGTTATATAAAAGATAAAATCTTCTCTGAATTTTTATTTCTTTGTAGATGGTAATAGTTTAGTATATGTTAATATATATTCTTTTTAATTTAAAATAAAGAATATTAAATGATGCATTTCCTGAAAAGAAAATAATTAAATCATTGTTTTTTAATATATTAATAATTATGGAATTATTGTTAATATAAGATTAAAAAATATTTTCCCTAATTTTCCACTTCTATTTTACTGATTGAAACCAAGGTGAATATTCTAATATAAATCAGGTCAGTCTACATGTATTTATCTCCTCATACCATTACCATGTCTAGACATAACTACCCTCTCTCCACTTTCTTCTTTCTCTCTTTCTTTCTATTCCTCTTCCTCTATCTCTATCTATTCCTCTATCTATTCCTCTTCCTCTATCTCTATCTATTCCTCTTCCTTTATCTATCTATTCCTCTTCCTTTATCTATCTATTCCTCTTCCTTTATCTATCTATTCCTCTTCCTTTATCTATCTATTCCTCTATCTATCTCTTCCTCTTCCTTTATCTATCTCTTCCTCTTCCTTTATCTATCTCTTCCTCTTCCTTTATCTATCTCTTCCTCTTTCTTTATCTATCTCTTCCTCTTCCTTTTTCTTTATCTATCTCTTCCTCTTCCTTTTTCTTTATCTATCTCTTCCTCTTTCTTTTTCTTTATCTATCTATTCCTCTTCCTCTATCTATTCCTCTATCTCTTCCTTTTTCTTTATCTATCTCTTCCACTTTCTATTTTGCCTTTTCACTATTTCTTTTATTCTTTCTTCCTTTTTTTCTTTTCTTTGCTTCAGCCTGGCTTTTAAAATTTGTTTTAAGCAAGTTTCATTTTATTTTTTTCTTATTAACCTAATCAGTTTGAAAATCCTTACAAATTAATCTTAATTTGTAAGGTGAAATGATCATAACCATGGAGTAATCTTAATTCCAATTGTATGTAATATATATATATATATATATATATATATATATATATTTTAAAGAAAAATAGACCACTTTAAGGCTCCAATATAATAGTTTATTTCACCAGAGACCTTTTAAAGACATCACTTCCAAAAAGTTGAAACAAATATATATATATATATATATATATATATAGAGAGATGCATTCAGGTACAAAAATATGTTAGTAAAAAGAAAGCATAAATAAATGAAAAATTTACCTGAAAAATCTACAGCACAAATTCCTCTTTCATGATGGCCCTTAAGCACCGACATGGATTTCATTGTATCAACATCCCAAACATGTATCATAGGATCTCGCCCAACCTAGTAAATCAGATGAAGCAACAAACGATGAATTGCATTTAAATCAAGAGAAACAGTCTGTTTTTCTAAATAAGTTTAAAATACACTTTAATAAGAACCTGAATCCTAGGCAGTTGCTTTGAAATTCTGTACCAAGATTAGATATATTTTATTATAAAATTTGAATTGAAAATAATTTTAATACTAGCTGTTTATGTAATCCATGATACTGCAGGTAGTATTTATGATTATATAAAGATTAAAATAAATATATATATAAATGCATTGAAAATTAGTTTACTATAGAATTCATAAGGAATTATTATAGATATGCATTGCAAATTATTTTAATACTAGTTGTTTATGCAACCTATAATGCTACAGGTAGGATTTATTATTATATGTAGAGTAATGAACAAATTCTAAAAAGAAATACATTGAAAATTAGTTTACAATAGAATTTATAGGGAATTATTATAGATATGCATTGCAAGTTATTTTAACACTAGCTGTTTATGCAACCTTTAATGCTACAAGTCAGATTTATTATTATTATATGTAGAGTAATAGAACAAATTCTAAAAAGAAATACATTGAAAATTAGTTTACTCTTGAAATGCATTGTAAATTGTTTTATGATAGAAATGCATTGAAAATTATTTTAGTACCAACTGATTATGTAATCTATAAAACAACAGGAAGGATTTCTTAATTACATGAAAACTTTCATTCATAGAGAATTTCATGGAGAGTGATTTAATGAGAATTCCATGAAAAGAGATTCCAGTGGGCAGGCATAAAAAAAAACCCTGAAAATTTTAAATCCACCCCTTTTTTTGTTAGGCATCACTTGAAGTAGTTGTTTTTCTGAGAGGTTATAAAAATAATCATTCCAAAAATCAAGCAACATATCAATTTGATATTCTTGGTAAAGGTGAACAAAAAGGCTGCCAAGACTTTTCCTAAGTTAACTGATATTTACAGCAAAGAATCTGTATCATGTGAAGGTCAAGATGTCAAAAATGATACAATTTTATTATGTTCAAAGTTTCATGGAAAGATTTCCTGATAGTCTCTTTAAAGATAAAGACTATTTCTGCAACTATTCTGATGCAATATGATCTGTCTTTTGGAACAATTCTTTTTTTTATATTTTTGAACATTTCTATGGGTAATTCAGTTCACCCGTCGTTTGCAATGACTGAAATAGATTAAAGTGCTTGCTTTCGTCCAGTCCTCCGGTCTACCAACTGAGCTGTTGCTAGTGACCTTCTATTCTCTCGTTCTTGTTAGTACGTATGCCGTCACACCAACAATGCATTCTGTTCTGTCCCGTCTTCCTCACAGACTCGCTATTTATGTCCACATCTGGGGCAACTAACATTTGCATACGAGACTTACTTCTCGTTTGCCTGAGACTTCCGATCTTATAATTTTATGCTGGCTTGAGTTTTTAGACTTTTATTTTTTGTTTTTAATGCCGGTTGTGATCTTTCAACAAGACCTGACACACCATGCAAATTCGCTTTGTGGAAGGTATTAGGTTGGTGCAAAAATAATGTCAGTTTTTGATGTTTAACTTAACTTATTTTTGCACCAACCTAATAAGTCTTCTCAGTCCTCACAATTTTATTATATACATGAATGTCCATAAAATTTATTATGGTCATCCACTAGTTCATCACAAAACCTCTAGTGCTATTTGAACACATGTACATACGACATGCAGGTCATATGCATTCATCCCCATAAACTTCAGTTAGCATACAAACAGATTCAGCAGCCATTTTGTGCAATTTCATTTTTCATTATTTAATCTAGTGAGTTTCCACTGAATGGAAACAGTTGAGCAATGACTGAACTGTACTAAATAAAAATAAGAACTAGATGATATCCACAGACATGAGCAGTTGAATGAAAACAGATTAAATAAAGGGTTCAGTTCAAAATTCCCCGTAGGCTACCCAGATTGATATACACATTGTTTTATTTTACGGCATATCAACCTAAATATATATATATATATATATATATATATATATATATATATATATAGAGAGAGAGAGAGAGAGAAATGCATTGAAAATTAGTTTACTATAGAATTCATAAGGAATTATTATAGATATGCATTGCAAGTTATTTTAACACTAGCTGTTTATGCAACCTTTAATGCTACAAGTCAGATTTATTATTATTATTATTATTATTATTATATGTAGAGTAATAGAACAAATTCTAAAAAGAAATACATTGGAAATTAGTTTGCTCTTGAAATGCATTGAAAATTATTTTAGTACAAGCTGATTATGTAATCTATAATACAACAGGAAGGATTTCTTAATTACATGAAAACTTTCATTCATAAAGAATTTCATGCCAGCAAAATTTTTTATTGGTGGTAATGTTTTTCTTCAAAAATCTGTTTCTGGAAATATTTTTCCTTGAAGAAATCTATAGCTGGTCATATTTTTTTCAAAGAATTTATAGCTGTTTGCATTTCTTGTATTTCCCCTTTCCAAAGCACTGCTGACAATAATCTCTCCTTCAAAAATTATTCCTGGCAATAATTCTCCTTTATTAAAAACTATTTCTGGTACTAAAACCCACCTTTACACAAGTTTGGGTGTTAACCATTTGCCCATAATTGGGACCCTAACAGGTGCTACCACCCCGGGTCAGGGTGGACCTGGGAACACCAGCAACCAAGAGGTGGTTCTACGCTCCTCAAAACCTCCTGATCAGAGGCCTCACTGTTGGACGTAGTTTATCATCTTACCCAGGACTTGGATGTGGTTTATCGTCATACCCAGGACTTGGATGTGGTTTATCATCATACCCAGGACACAGATGTAGTTTATTGTCATACCCAGGACTTGGATGTGGTTTATTGTCATACCCAGGACGCAGATGTAGTTTATCGTCATACCCAGGATGCGGATGTAGTTTATCGTCATACCCAGGACGCGGATGTAGTTTATTGTCATACCCAGGACGCAGATGTGGTTTATTGTCATACCCAGGATTTATTGTCATACCCAGGATGCAGATGTGGTTTATCGTCATACCCAGGACGCGGATGTAGTTTATCGTCATACCTAGGATGAACACATGAGGAATACCAGAAGGTACAACATCCAAAACATTGTGATAACAACAACAATGATGAAGACAACAGTCCAAATATAAATAGTGTTTTTTTTTCCCAATTCTCTAACAATCAGTAACCACTTTTGTTTTTGTAGCTTTATTGCTTTGTTTGGGATGAAATGATTAAAAATAAAACTGATGCATTCTTCAATTTTGAGCAGAAAATTTTACAACATAACATATCTACTTATACTGTTATGAAATAATTCTATTTTAAACAAATTTCTGCTATTTACCTGTCCAGTGGCCACAATGTCTTTGAGTGGGTGGATGCACAGGCATAAGATATCATCTGTGTGTCCAAGGTATAGCTTTTGAACATTAGTTTCTCGATTCAAGACTATTCCAACTGCTGCAATATGGTACACTACATTTCCAGTTTTTGTGTAGAAGATATTATTTCGACAATCATAGCCACGATATCTGCAATTAGGGAGAAAATAAATTTACATTTTTTTTTGTAGATAAAAATAAAAAAAAATCATTATCACAGACACAATAAGCAACACAAAGATATCTCTTAGTGAAATATAGTGGATATCTGAAGATGACCAGACAGTACTTAGCCGAAATATTGTGTCTATAATAATATTGATAAAAATCAAAAGATGAGAACAAAGGTCAATGTATAAAACTGAAGTGTATTTAAAATAGTATTATTGGCATTACTTAAATAGACTGGTTCACCGATTTAAAAAATGGTGGAATTTTAGATGAATAATTTTTACAGATTTGCATTTAACATCACATTAGTCAAAATAAAAAAAACATTGCCTTTTTACCATTTTAGAGGGTGGGTCCTTTTCATAATATCAATACAATGTCAAACAGATCTCTGAATTCTTAAAGAGTTATCTGTACTTTGTTTTTATTTACAAATGTCAAGTTTGAAACTGTGCCCTTGTCAGTGATAACTGCATTCTATTGATGTTGTCCTTTTTCCTAAATGGTAATAGTATGTAGTCATCAATAATATAAGCAGTTTCAAAGTTGATATTTGTAAATAAAAACAAAGTACAGATAACTCAGCAATTGATTTGAGACTGTATATTATGAACAGAATCCCTTTCTAAAATAATAAAAAGAATCAATATTTTTCAATTCTGAAAAATGACATGGCTTGAGGGAGGTCTAATGATAATGAATGCTCATCTACAAAAAATGTTAAAAAAGTAAAACAATTACTTTTTTTAACAAGCAGACAAATAAATTTAAGTATATATGTATTATCTAAAATGAACTAGATAAGTTCTTGTCAGTAAGACAAAAAAGAAGAAAAAAATTATAAATATTGATTTTCTTTAAATTTTACAAATAGAAATTCTTCAACCCTATGAACCCTGACCTCTGCTTTATTGATGGTAAAGAAAAATAGAGAAAAATGACTTAATGTCCAGTCACCAGTTGAATGGTGGGTAAACACTTGTAACTATTTTTATATCTACCGTGAAACATGACAATCCAGTTATTTGCAAATTTTGACTCGGGCTCAAGCAGTTGGGTTAAAATTGTTCAGGAACACAGGGCTCAAATGGTTGTGTAAAATTAAATGTTTTCAATTAATACTGAAACCAGAGTTGAAAGTTAATACACAATTCATTTTGATCTACCTAAAATTTTATATATACACACACACACATATATATATATATATATATATACAAGTAAATGCTGGCAAAATTTTGCAATAGATATTTTCTGCCTGAATTTCCAAGACAAGAAATTACCATCATTCATTTCACAGTAATTTAGGATAATTGTCCTCGTTTTTGTTATTATATCTGCAACATTGTATCGTTCAACCTTATTTAGGTGCCTGTAATATTCAGTAATCTTCTCAGAATTTCAATGTAGCTCATGTTTTGGAATCCATATACTCTGATTTGGATGAATGAATAAAAGTGTCATCAAAAGGATGCCATAACAAGACAAGAGTTAATGAATATGAGTTGTCTCCCCTACATTAGCAGTAGATTGAAGACTATCCACAATCCACATACTATGAACTGATTAAATGGCTCAGTTTGAAAGAATATTATCAAATAAGACAAGCCCATATAGAAAGCTTGAAAGTGCAATGGTGAAAATATTTTAGTTATAATAATCAACATGTGAACAAAAGTTTGATTAAATTAGTATATAAGAGAAACTTGTAGGATGAAGTCCAATGCCTTCTTTTTTGGAGGCCTGTCAAGGTATAAACATTTTTGATTTTTGATGTGATTTTATAAGCTACTTTATCCAAGTCTGTGTCTTCCAACCAAGGGATTAATATCTGGGTCACATGGTTCAGTAGCTTGTTCATCCACAGTTGCTGCGAAATATTCTCAGGTAAGGTGCGAGGATCAGTGTCTGAGGAATTGAAAAGGTATCCTATTTCCAATGGAGACATTACTAAAAAGATTTGACAATTTCTTTTCTTCAGACTCGCCAGCCAAGTGTAAAATTGTTTGTCTCAGCATGTCATATGGATTCTCCTCAGGCACTGTATCCAACAAGTCTAAAATTTCATAAGCAACCTTTGTTGGAAGTTTTTCAATAACAGGTGGATTTCCTCTTTTGCAAAGTTACTCTTCTTGCCATGAAAATGGCCTACAGTTGATCAAAGTGTGTCTGTATATCCAGTGGGTTGAATGGGGTAGCTGTAATGATAGCATAGCTTCAATGAGTCTTTCCATGTTTACTGCTATTGAGGAAGAATATTAGTCCTTTCCTTGTTACCGAAGTTAGAGTCTCACTTTTGCAAAATCTTACGGCTGTAAGAAATCTTCCTGCATGCACAGTATTAGGTTATTATAACCCCTGATGAAAAAAAAGGACCAAGCTGTGAAGTGGACATAATATGACTGGTGAATAGTAATTATAGCAGTCTGCCAAAATTCTATACACATGTTGTTCTGAGCTGTAAAGAATATTTTCTTTTTTTGAAACTAATGTCTGTTTTCAAAGTGTCACTTTTTTTTTTTATATATCCAGAACATCATGTCAGGGTCACCACTTTGTAGTGGGTGTAAACACTTTTGATGAGATATTATAAGCTCCTGATGCATTTGACCCACTAACAATTTTTGGTGGACCCATGCAAGTCCAAAGGAACAATAAGACACAGAATTTGAACAATGAAAGATTAACAAATATATTGACAGGACATTTTACAAAAGGAAAACTGAGAAATGAAATTAAATGTGAAAAGGTCAAAGCAACCTTCAGTGTCTGTAGTTGGGTACTCACATTTTGTGGGAGCAAAAAGAATATGTCCTTTCACTATGAAAAGTCACTGAGAAAGAAATTTATTTTTTTCAAATCTTGCACTACCTGTAATCATTGTCAGTGGGTGGTAGTTCCAAGATATCACCACCTGTGATTATCGACAGGGGGCAGTAATCCAACAGGTCCCAGTGTAAAATTATCCAAATGCTAAGCAAAGTATTAAGTGGTGTTACAATGTGATATGGCCGTAAGACCAATCCAACAATTATAACAATCTACTATAATGGTTGGTTGATTTGTTTTGTGGCATATCAACCTCTATGGGTGATAGAATGTCAAAATCTATATATTTTGTATACAATTATTTTCTTAAGATAATAATGGTTTTAGTGATAGAAGTTTTACTAATTAACCCATAGATGGGGAGAGAAGAGATGGATTCATACATTTTTCTAAGGAATTTATGCCTAAGTGAATATAACAAACCCAGCTGGAATTGGAACTCAGCTCTCTGATTAACAATTCTGAGCCATTATCTATTACACCACCAGCTCACCCAAGATTACAGCACCTGATGTTTCTAAGCAGTCACACATCTGGGTACTGACCAGGCTTGATGTTGCTTAACTTTGGTGATCATACAGGGAACCCAGTGTTTCAACATGATGCAGCCTTAAACCTCAACGTACCATAATCAAAGTTATGTGACGGATAGAAGATTACTTCTTATTGTAAATACTATTTGGCACAGTAAGAGATTAGCAACAATAACTAATAATAAAACAGAACAATTATAACAATATACTATAATAAAGGTTATGTGATGGATAGAAGACTTATTACACAGGTTCTTGTATGATTATTAAGTTAAGCAATGTCAAACATGGTCAGTACCAAGATGGGTGACCACTTGGGAATAATAGGTGCTGTAAGCTTGGATGTCTGGGTGTTGTATAATAATGTCTCAGAACAGAAAATCAAAGAGCTGAGTTTCAATTCCAGTCAGGTTCGTTATATTCACTTACACACAAATAACCTTGGGAAAGGTATAAATCTACCATTTCTTCCCCCTAACTATAGGTTAATTAGTAGAACTTGTATCAGTAAAAATCATTATTATCTCCAAAATATTCTTACAATCTAAAAATATTTCCTGGTTTTAAATAGTCTACAAAATTTATTGCGATCTTTTATGAATTTTCCTATATGGTTTGGTTTGTCTTGTTTTATGACATATCAACCTCAATGGATTAATTAAGGCTAACAAGATTTTTTATTGGTGGTAATATTTTTAATAATGTATTGCTCGTAATAATTTTTTTACAAAAATATATTGCTGGTATTAAAACCTATTTTTACACTTTCATAATGTTTTGACCCCAGTTTTGGGGTTAACTATTTGCCCATAGTTTGGACCCTAACAGTTGCTACCACCTCGGGTCAGGGTGGACCTGGGAACACCAGCAATTAAGAGGTGACTCCATGCTTCTCAAAACCTCTTGATCAGAGGCCTTGCTGTTGGATGTAGTTTATCATCTTACCCAGGACAGACCTATATGGTATCTAGACTTTATAAATTTAAGCCCAGTACTAGATTGGCAATAAGGTCTCATTATTTTACAATTGAAATGGTTAGATGTAACCATAAGTTCCATGATAACAGTTCCTTCTGTCACACTTCTCGCTTGTAGAACTCTCTTCCGGTTCCATGCTTTCCAGTCAACTTTAATCTTTAAAAATTTAAATGCAGTGTCAATAATTATCATCTGTCTTCTTAATTTTTTTTCTTTTATTGTTCTCTCTCCTTAAGAGTGTATTTTTTTCATATTCTCTAACACTCAGTAACCCTTTGCATCTTAGTGGTTTTATTGCCTTGCTTGAGGTGAAATGATTAAAAACAAAATATGAATGTCTTACATGATGCCAAAATCATTTAGAAATATCTAAACTGTCAGCAGTATACAAACACTTTCTCAGATCAATGATTAAAAATAGCTTTAATTGAATGAAGCCTGTAGGTCTTGCCAAGTATTGATCGATTTTATTTTTTTATTGTTTATCAACCCTTTGTGGGTTATTTAATGCTGAAACATTTCAAATTGTAGTAGGTTGCTTACAGTACCTGTTGTCCTCATGCAGTCACCCATATAAGTACTGACCAAGCTTGGCATTGCTTAACTTTGGTATTTGAATGATTTGGTTTTAGCGTGATTTTATTATTTATTGAATTTCTTAGGGAGAAATGAATAAAAAAAACATTTGATAAGCCATATATATATATATATATATATATATATATATAGATAGATAGATAGAGAGTGCAATGGGTAAATTATCACCATTTTATATTTTTAATTTCACTAATGCACATTGTTTTTGATTTTGTCAACTGCACAGTACAGTAGGATCAGTCGGACACTATCTGTGAGAAAAAGAGTACCATCAAGCATTTCATTCCACCAGAAATTTGGGAACGGCATGCTGTGCTGCTTGGCATTCATGCTGGAATCTCAAATACAAACATTTCAGAGTGTCTGGGTGTCAATCTGAGGACAGTGCAGAGGATTCAAAAAGAGTTGGCTGAGTCTAATGGTGATTATTAAGGTGACTGGAGTGATCACTAGCAATGCCTCCATTCATCTTCCCACAGGTCCTCAGACTCAACATGGTGGTGTACATCAAGTGCCTTGAGGAGGTAGTGCTGCCCTGGTTCAAGATGGTAGCTACTGGCAGACCCTGTGTCTGGCAACAGGACTCTGCACTATGCCACACAAGCAGGAGAACCCAGTCATGGCTGTCAGACAATTTCTGCGATCACTTCACCCCTTACATCTGTCTACATAACTCCCCAGACTGCAACCCCCTTAATTATTATATGTGAGATGCAGTTGAATGAGAGACCAACAAAACTTCTTGTAATACCAAAGATGAACTGAAGGCAAGGATTATGTCAGCATTCATCAACTTGAACAAGGAGACTGTCTAGAAGAGTTGCAGGAGATTCCAAAGTTATCTGGAGTCCATGGTTGAAGCCAATGGCAATTTTATTGAGTAGATTTACTCTTTAGTATTTCAAGACATTTTTGTGTAATTTTGGTAATCTGTTAAAATGATATGTCAGTGTTATTTTCAGTTTTCCATAATTTAACCAACAATTTATCCATCACACATATATATATATATATATATATATATATATATATATATATATATATTTTTCTTACAGTAAATCTTATTAGACACAATAAGAGATTAACAACAATAGCTAATAATAATAAATTATGACAACAGACTATAATTAGTGATGGATATATGATGTATAGAAGATTTATTCAGACCATAGATCTTATCAACCTCAGTATATGTTTTTCATTCCTTAAAGGTAACCTTCACCATTTCACTTACTGTATATGATATGTTCAGCAAGAGAAGGGCATATTCAACAAAAAAATTGAAAATTGCTTTTTTCACTGCAAATTATTCATTATATCATATCCAAGTATTTTACAGCCAATTATTCATTATATCATATCCAATTATTTTAGAGCCAATTGCAAAATATTTCAAGTACAGTTTAGGTTTATAGTTCATAATCAAGCAATTAGATGAGGTAACAAACCATACATTTGTCTACAGAATATCATTACATTATTGTTACATAATTATAGTGAAATTATTAAGGTCTTTTGTCAAAAGCATTTTATTTTTGGTCATATATTAATTTAAAATATTCCTTTTTACAGGCTTTATTTTTTAAATGGAATAAGATCATTCTAAATTTCAGAATTTTGCTATTGCCTATCAAAATGACTGGAAGAAAGCGATCTAAAAACAACAATGGAAAAGAGAGGTAACAAAGCATAAATGAAATAACTCCAGTTTTTTCAACTTAGGCAACTTAGCATTGCAGCCAAAGTATTCTAAAATGCTGCCAATAACAAAGGAGAAAATGAAAAATACTTAACAAATCAAACATAGCATCAAAATTTATATTATTTTTTATTTGTCATGTAACTAAGTACATAATTGTCAACAATGTTTCTATAAAACTTGATATTTCCTGTAAAAAATTCTTAATAAATATTATTATTGTTATTATTTTACTTAAGTGTAAGGTAGTCCTACATTTACAATTTCTTACGGCTAACCACAAAAAGAAATGTTGATCAAAACTGCCTAAAACCTTTAAGCATGTATTGCTGCAAAATTATCAAAATGTTGAATATGCCTGTCCTTTGCTGAATATGTCATATGCTCATAGATATGCTGCACCTTTATTTTGGGGTTGTCAAAGTGGGTATTTGTGGTTGGCTCACAGATAGGTTGCACTATAATCTGGGGAGTTACATGCCCCCTTTTAAACGTAAATATAACTTTAAATATTTTCTAATATTCAGCTTTATTCCAAAACTTTGCTTACATATATTAGAACATAAGTAAAGTGATTGCTTGTAATTGCATGGTATTTACTTATCGAGTGCAGGGCTGCTCTGTTTATACAAAAATTTGGATACTGGTAATTGCTTCAGTCTTGAAAATAATAGTCTTTCATGGTAAATCAAATAATAAATGGTAAATATGAGCAGTGAAGATCAAGCACTTTTATTTGATGTGTGACACAGTACTGTTGGTACTATATTGAGTAAAATCAAAATGTCAGGAAAAATTAATTTTCTTCCTTGTTTTCACTTATGCTAGAGCTCAGGGTACTCACCTGGACTACTGATATGCCACAGTCTACTTTATATTTTCTATGATGTTAAGTGGATAGGTTACACCCCTGATTTTTATTGAAATTTTGGTGAAAAAAAGTGCAACCTAATCTCAAGTATATACGGTAGTTCTCCTTGGTGTACCTAAATTGCTTAAGTCCTGTGCTCAGAAACCACTATTAAATATGTTGTAATGGAATGTCTCACACTCCTTATCGCCTATGTGGACTGACTATATCAGTAGCTATATATAGTGATCACAGGATATACCTGTGGGCTTGTTTCGGGAATTACTAGCCTGCCACCTGATTCCCTGTCTTTCAGTAGTGTATTCTCTTTTACAATAAACCTTTCATCTACGCGCATGTTGCTGTTCCTTCACTCGAGTACCACCTTTGTCTATTTGTAACCTCTTTAAGGATACAACAAAATAAAGCTTAGATACATCTATAGAAAGTGAATATATTGTCTATCTCTGTAGAAAGTGAAACCATATATTTGGGAAGGCATTGTATGTGAAACAAACTCACTTCAGGTAGATTTGTTCATTGAAAAACCTAGAACATAAAGACTTACCCATACACATATTCCAGTCTGAGACCCCGGTCAGGCCCACCTTGTCGCTTTTCTCCAGGCTTCATTTCATTGCGTGATAATTTTTTCAGGACAGCTGCATCCTCCTGGTACACTCTACGGTCATAAGTCACTTGTTTCTCAACTTCAAGGTCAGAGTCCAAGTCAGCCACTTCAGAAAGGTCAGAATCACTATCTTCACTATTGGAGTTTGCAACTGACAAAAAAAAAAAAAAAAAAAAAAAAAAAAAAAAGATCTTTTTTAACAATTCTAAGTTTGGCACAAGGCCAAGTTTACAGAATGCTCTTAAATTAGTCATTATTACTGTCATACTTCAGTCATTTTCCCATGGACATGATGTAACTTCCCTCTGTCTTTACTATAAATATTTTCATCGCAATTGTTCTAATGAGCTCTCTTCTTTGGTAGTATGACTGAATGAATTTAAATGTTCTACTAGATTAGCAATTAGGTCTCATTGTTTTACTGTTGCAATAGCTAGGTGTTACTGTAAGTTCTATTCTGATAGTTTATTTTCTTGCACTTCTTACCTGTGAAGCTCTCTTTCAGTTTCTGGCTTCTTTGCTCCCCACAATGTTCAAAAATTTAAATGCATCATCAATCATTATCTTCTGTCTTCTTGAATCCCGTTTTTTTTATTTGTAACAAAGTAATGACCTTGAAATCAACATTTTACAAGTAAAAATGTAGAAATGGCACTTTGAGTGTTAAAATAGAAATAAACAGAAAATTAAAACATGGTTTGGCAAATTCAATTCTGCTTTCAGGAGAGCATGAAACCTGGTTCTGAAATTGGACGAAGGAAATGAGAAGTTATGTTGATTGCTGATAAAATAAGATTAATTTATTTTCAAATGCAGATATAATGTGAAAAATAACTTTTGGCCATAATGGGGTTTAGTGTGCTGCTAAGTGGCACTTGGATATGTTTTTTATATGAACTCCACCTTGGTAGTCATGGCTCTGTTGGAAAAGGTTAGTACAAAGCTTGAAACTGATAAATGTGAAATTAATTTGAAGAACTAGAGAAACTATTAGGTTGGTGCAAAAATAATTTCGTTTTCTCACATAGTAACATATGTTAGAAAACGAAATTGTTTTTGCACCAACCTAATAGATGTCGGCAAATTTTATAATTATCATTATTTTGATTTTCTGGCAAGGAATCTTTCACCACTAAGAAAGCCATCTGGTTAATTTAGAGGAATATGGAAATAATAACACATGAGCTAAGAGCATTGTAACTTGCCATTTTCTAAGGCCAGGTGAAGTGAAGTCATTAATCATTGTTACCAGGGAGAGGGGGAAGATTACCCCACATAAGCATGTGCATATTTTGCTTGGCAGTCATTTTCTGTGAGGGGAGCAACAAGACAGATTTGATAAAACACCCACATTTCACTGAACACACAGACACAGTGAATAGAGAGAACTTTTCTAGTGCCATTTCAAGTCAGTAATGCCCCATGCATGATACACGCTTAGGTGATCATCTACCTTTTGATACATGAGTGATGAAGCAGATTTCTTTCTGCAGTAGACCAGTTGTCATCCAAGGCTATAGAACCCGGTCTATCCTGCTATTTAGCCATAGCTGAAGAGAGAAGAAGAAATGGAGCTGGAGAGGTTTAATCTCTGTTCAATTGAAGTGGGACAGACAAATCCACTAGCCTTGTTGGCACTTGTTCCCAGGCATGATGTCATCAGCTGATACTGACAAATTCCCCAATCCTACTAGTTATCTCTAGTGAAGCAAACCAACCAGCTATAATGGAGTGCTGTGACAAGGATCTGACCACACCCCCAGACCACCTTGTTATAACTGTCTTTTCTCATCGCTCTCATTAACCCCCAGTGTTTTAGTGGCATTATCACTTTGCTTGGGGGTGAAATGATTAAAAAAAAAAAAAAAAAAACAACATCTAAGTTAAGATAAAGCATTGATTCTCACATAAGCTATGACAACAATACCGAGTATAGTTCCCAAGAAAGGAGCTAAGTAGCACCACTCATGGTGCTTGAAGTACAGCCAGCTTCAATAATTGTGATATGATAAAATCTGGCTATTATTATAACACAAAGTAGAGTGGTCTCAGAATGATTTTATCTTAGTTTGATATATTTTTTGTTTTGTATGACCAACAATGAAGTCTATGAAGTAGGATCACATTAGAGTGCACAAAAACTATGAAAGGCTCATTGTATGCTCACAAATGAAATGAAAGGACAAATGTCACAATGAGAAATGAACAGGCAAATTCAGCAACCCCTTGCATCTTAATGGCTTTATTGCCTTGCTTGGGGTGAAATGATAAAAGGTGGGGGGATTTTTAAAAGTAGCCAACTATTTCAATCACTTGACCAAAAGGGATAAAGTAAATAGATAAACAAATGAAACATTTTGTGAACAAGTGGCACTTGACCAGAAGTTAAAAAGTTCTGCTTGCATAAACAGTCACAGTTGGAATTGAGAGTAGTTTTGAAGCTGCCAATTGGGTAGTACAGGTCATCCATTATGTGAGTTCTAATAACATCCATGGTTATGTTGCTAGCTGTGTATTGTGATGTAGAAATAGGAATGGGGAACAGGAGAGTTATCACTGGTTGAAGGGAAATGCTGGTCTGTTAGTTTGTCATGACAGAAAAAACATAAGTTGTCTCAAGTATCATCTACCTCAGGTGTTTTCAAACTGTGGTCCGCGGACCACAGGGGGTCCACAAGGACAAGATAGGGGGTCCGTGGACAGCAAAGACTTTTTTTATGGGTGATATGCAACTTATAAGCACTTATAAGTAACTTATAGTCCGATCATGAAATAAATTGATTCAATAAACTATTTCATAGATTTGATATACTAATATAATTTGTATCTTAAATTGATAAAGATAATGGATTCTATTCATGCAGAGAAGGAACCAAAGGATTTGAATTTTGGATCTATTTTGCGATTCCTGTGTGTGTAATTGAAAATAAAACTATTTGTTAAATTACTGTTTTCATTTACATGTAAAATTAATTATTTTAATATAACAAAATTTAATTTTGTTACATTTTGCAGCAACATGCAGCATTAATTTATTTGAACACTTAAGTCTAAAGTAAGCTTTAAACCAGCTTTTATTGCATTAATTCAAAGTTATATGTTATATTCAGCAAATATTTATCTATAAATTTCATAAGCGTTTATAAGGGGATCCCTAAGGTAAAGCCTGAAATATAAAGGGGTCTGTAAGTCAAAAAGTTTGAAAACCCCTGATCATGCAAGTGAATTCCTTAATAAATAACCAAATATATTAGAAACATTTCTTAGATTAATTTCCCTTTTCATTTCTCTTGTGAATATACAAGCCTTACTACATTTTTGTGCACTCTGATGTGAATATGAATAGAAACTGAACATAGGGTTATTTGCCCAGTCAGTGAAAAGCCAAGACAGGGGCCCTTAGTATGGTCCATATAATTGCTTGCTAGAAAGCAAATATTGAATGCAACTTTCAGTTCTTACCTTTATTTCAGATTTCTTTCCTTCAGTGAAAACAGATCCTAATTTGGGGGGTTTATGAAAGCAAAGTGGTATAAGGAAAGCTTTCTAAAAACTGGGGTACCTGTACACAAATTTATTTCAACTTTTTCCTCAAATTTGGTCAAGGTTGATTATCACAATTGCCAGTTGCAAGTTGGGATGTAGAGATGAGCAGAGGGGTGATAGGAGAGTGAGTGCTTGTTGGTTGAAGTGAAAAACTGGTCTGTTAATCTGTCATGACAGAAGTAGCAGAAAACGACTCTAATGTCATCTACCTAGTCCTCCTATGTCAATGTGTACCTTATATTAAAAGTTACACATTGACACCGTGTAACACTTCAGGCTCGATCCTGGTTCACAAACAGCAACAAATGTAACCTTTCATCATAGTCAGCCCAGGGTGGATCCTGATTTGATCAATGGAGTGATCTCTTCAATCCTGACCTGCCTTACTCCATGTTGTGATAGATTTGATTATAAAGAGGCCAAGATCAATTCATCGCAGGTATCTTCATGTTGGGCTGGTCCAAGTCGAGCATAGTCATACAATAAAATTGGGAAAAAAAAAAAATATAGCACTCGAAATATATATAAAAAATAATTACTATTTCTATATCAAATACTGTGTACAATGGTCCGTTAGTAGTTGTGCTCACATACAGGTGTTTGTTGACCCGACCAGTTCCTAAATTGGACACAGCACTTGAGTAAGCTGGTAAGTTTTAGCTTGCAGCATCAATGAAATTTGTTTTACTGATTTGGTAAGACTGAAGTTGGAGGTTCTTGTGTTTGGCAGGAGTTGTGGAATCTCTCAGTGACCTCTGCCACTTCCCTTCTCAACTCTCAACTATCTACTCTCAACTTGAAACTGTCTGAATGGCTTTCATACATTCATTTTTATGGACTCCAACTAGAAACCAGTGCAGGGCAAAATGTAGGTTGGGTTTCAATGAATCCCAACAAACGTCCATTATTTTTGGTCCTGAGAAATTAAATTACTTCATAATTTTGGGGAATTCTCCTTCTCTCATGGGAGATGGGTGCATATATCACTCCACCTGGTTACTTCTACTTTCTCTTATTACCATCTCCCATCAGTGCTCTCCAGTGGGTGTGGGCAGCTCCTTCAACCTCCTTAAAGTTTCTCTGTGCCTGCTACACTTCAGTGGGTGCAGGCAGCCCCTCATCCTTCTTTGATCACTCTTCTGTGCCTCACACCTCCAGCATTCGGTCGAAGATTAATCAAATTAAAAAAAATATGGTTCCAAATGCTATTATCTCATAAGTGACTTGGGACAACAATTGGCTTTCTTATCTTTGATCCAAGAGACACTTTCTGAGGAAAATTTTTGCAACTCACAGGAGATTTTTTTTTTTTCCAATTTTATTGTATGACTATGCTCAACTTGGACCAGCCCAACATGAAGATACCTGCGATGAATTGATCTTGGCCTCTTTATAATCAAATCTATCACAACATGGAGTAAGGCATTGCAGATTCTTTGTATTTTATCAAGAACCTCTAATAAAATAGCAGAAGCAAATGTGGCAATATTCAGTGCATGACTGAATGGTAGACTTATAAATGTTTAAGATTCTGGTAAGAAAAATTGCCTAACACAATAATGTCCTAACCTCACAAGACTATTTAAGAACATGACTTGAGTTCATAGATTGATATTTGATTTTTATGACTTATCAAACCCTTTCCAGGTTATTTAAAGCCAGAAAATATTTTTACATTATAAAAATTTTTTGGAGACAAGAATGATTTATTGATACAATTCCTACTAAGTAACTCATAGCTGGGGGGAGAAGAGGTGGATTCATATTCTTTCCCAAAAGCATTTGCATTTAAGTGAATATAATGAAACTGACTTGAATTCAAACTTAGGTCTTTAACCTCTCATTCTGAGTCATTATCCCTTACACCACCTGGTATTCTCAAGTAGTTACCCATTTAAGTTCTGACCAGCATGATATCCATTTAGATATTATTATCATTATTATATAAAACCAAGAACTGAAATTAATTACTGCAAAAAATTAAGATTTTAATTTTATATTATTTTGGTGCATGTGTTCAGTTTTGTTTTGTATCACACGGAAAAAGGAATAAAATTAAAAAAATATATATAATACCATGTTGTGGCTGGACATCACTGTCAGTGTTTATAAGACCTGGTGGTAACAACTTCCATTGAAACACTGCATGGTCAGCACCCCCAATGGTGATGACCCATTGCTTGTCATGGGAGAAGCGGACATTTGTCACATGGGCAGAGTGACCATTGTATTTCCGAAATTTGGATCCTTTTAATAAAAGACAGAAAAATGAAGCATGAAAATTTCAGTACTTGTTTAATTTTGAGATAAATACTTAACATTCCCCAAAATTTATTTATTATTGATTTCATTCTTTTTACTGGTAATATTTTGTCTTATCTATTCTTCTTTTGAATTTCTTCAGGTGTAAAATCTGGATGGAAGGTACCTCTTCAAGTCTAAGGTTAACTATTATCTTCCTCATACACCCTTGTTCAAATTAATTGAAACAACCACTTTAGTTTCCTTTCTTACACCATACGGTCAGTTTTAGACCCACTAGAATGACAGGGTATAATCAATTTCTATTTTTTCTTCAGATTAGGTCGTTTGCAATAATATGAATCTATTTTCAGAGTGTATGATAAAATTTATTTGGCCTTGAAAAATATTGCGTCATCCGTGATTGCATCAGATTTTCATCCTGCCCAGACACTATTGTCTCAACTGTTAATTAGTTGTCCTACAGCCATTGTCTGTGATGCACGTTACTCCAAGGAAGCATATGAAAATTGTAATGCTAAATGAACACAATAGCAAGCCTTATCAGTGAGCAAACAAAAGTACTATTGACTGGCTTGAAAGCTCTCCTGATTTAAATCCAGTCGAGAATCTGTGGTCAATCTGCAAGGAAAGACTTCATAGGATGGACATACAAAGTACTAACATGTGCACTGGGTCATGTTTCATTGGAAAAATACAAAATAAAAAAAGTAAATAATAACGGAATTATTCATTTTGTTTCAATTAATTTGCACAAGGGTGTATATCCACATAAACTGTGCCTCTTACTCTGTAACTCTCTACATTAATTTGCTCTCAGGCCTTGTACAGGGTGTAAACAAATGTAAAAAACTTCTATAATTCTGAAAGGAGTCATTAGCATTCTCAATCAGTACTTGGATTGTACCTTGTTTCTGGTACCATGTCACATAGTACTGAAAGAGATGGGCAAATAATTCTCTTGCCCTGAGAGATTTACTCTGAATGGCATTCTGAATGATTTGATCAGTCATTGTTAATATCCATATTAATTAACATTCTTAAAGATAAGTGAACATTTCATTTTATTTGTTACTATTAACACTCTCCCTCAATATCAAGCACTCTAATTACAGAGAGTGCTCGCCTTAAAGGTGTTATCTTCTAGAAATGCACCAATTTTTTGTCAAAACACAATTTTTGTTTTGTGTGTGTGTATTTTACCCCAAAACTTATAGTGAATAGTTCATAGTTGAAATAGACTCTCCATTTTTATTTATTAAGTGGTATGTATTGTGTCTATTGAACTGCACAATAAATTTTAATAAACAAAATGTGTTCTCCAGCAAGATTCAAACTCAGATCACCCTTTGTAGGAGAAACCACCTTTTGATCTGGCATGTTTTTACTGTTTGGTCAAAAAGAACATCACAGCAAGCAAGGCTCTATTTTTCCTCATTTTTTTTTTTTTTTTTTTTTGCTAAACTATGATATTCTTCAGAGTCAAGAACACCTAATACTGATTTACCTTACAAAATGGGTCACAGGTTCAATCCCTGCTGGAGAACACATTTTCTTTACTAAGATTTCTCAAATGTACAGGATGATAGCTTTTAAACAGTGTGTATTACATCTAACTGTCCACTATAATAGTGTTTGAAGTAATAAAAAAAATATCACATTAAAAATAAATCTATTAACATTTTAATATATATATATATATATATATATAATATATAAAAATGTTGTTTTACGGTATGCTATATTTATCGGTTAAAGTGCTCAATATTAAGGATAGAGTATATGAAAATATTAAAACCGCTGAGTGTTGACGTCAATATCCACTTGTGTGTGTATGCGTATTTTTAGGAATAGGTTCTTCATTTATTAATATTTTAATTTACTGCTTAAACATTATTTTTTCAAATTTATTCAAATATGGGTATCCATTAAAAAATAACATTTAAGCAATAAATTAAAATATATAAATGTATGTAGGTAAAATTAAGATAAATGTATCTGTAAAGACAATATTAATAAAAGACAATAAGAGGAAAACATTGTGTCAAATGCATTTTGTTCCTTCAAAAACTTTATCAAAGCAAATATAGAAGTCTTATTTAAGAATCCATATTTATACACACAGAAAAGGTGATGCTGAGATAAATGTTTTCAAACTTGAAATAAAGAATGCTCTAAAACATTTGAAAATTTCTTGATGTTAAAGAAAAAGTAAACAAAAACTATGGAAGATGCTAAGTGATGTAAATATTTGGCATGTTTTAAAAGCATGAATTCGTGAGGTTGTTATCATTCATTTTATTTATTATTACATTTGCCATTAGATAACCATTTCCATTATTACTATTATATTTAGGATTATTATTATTATTATATTTAACATCATATTATTATTATTATATTTAACATGAGGTAATCATTTTCATTTAATTTTTAAAATTTTTATGGTTGTACATTGCAGGTTCTTCTTTGGGTTTTGTCAAGAATCTCTAGATACATCACAGAAACACCAGATCATATGTGGTAGAAATATTCAATGCATGGATGAATGGTAGACTTATAAAGATGTAGATTCTAGTGAGAACAATTGTCTGTAATGACAGTGTAACATTTTGTAAATGCTGTACTCTGCATATTATTGGGAATACAGCACTGTATCATAGATAATATTGTATCATAAAATAGAAAATCAACAGTGAAAAAAAAACGTATGATGAAAGACACATACCTTTTCTCAGACATGGGTACCGAAAAAGTTTGACCAATCCAAAATCATCCCCAGTAACAAGCACCTGACCATCAAAGTTAGCATCCACAGCATTGATGTCATTTGTGTCTGTATATTTTTCCCAAATTCCACTTACTTCATCTCCAAGAACTCCGGTGAATGAAGCCCATTTGATGTTTGCAATTTCCTCACGGTTTGTTGTATGTTTGCCACCTGCAAGAAAAATAAGAAATTATCCCAGATTGGCAGTTTTTTTTTTTTTTTTTTTTTCAAATTTAACCTTTAACATACTGGAGATGATTTTGCTTGCAAAGCAAAAACTTTATCCTGCCACTGCAAGTGATTCAGATTAATGAATAATAGCGTGTTTGAATTTTGGAGATGTCTTATCATATTCTGCTATGACAACAGATATACAAACAACCCTATTAGAAAAAATCTTTAGGCATACAAATACGAATTTAACAGCGTAACAATAATGCCAATAACTCTCTGTCATTAAAATAGACCAGATGATATGTGTCAAATGGATGTCATCATTTGCTTGAAAATAGACACCCCAACCCTACCTTGACTTAACCTCTTTCCAAAAGTAACTAATATGTTGATACAATATGTTAACCCTTACAACCCTTATTAAAATAATTGGTTTTGCCATTTCCATAGTAATTAATATTATGAATTTATATGCTTATAAAGCTCCATAAATTTCAAGATTAGTTATTCCAAAATTCGCTTGGAGGATGAAACAGAGCTGGGTACTTTAATTCAATTTAATTTTTATAATTAAATTTAAGTTTTTAGCTTCTGTTTTTGAAACATAAGAACTCTTATGTAGCGATGGAATCATATTTTTTAAAAATAATTATAATATATATGTGTGTGTGTGTGTGTAAACAATTAATGAATTTATAATCTGACATTTATATTACTTCAAACATTATTGCAGACACTTTATATCTGAAATAGATGCTCAGTATTTATTTATTATATATAAGGCAAACTGTTTATCAACCTGTCCATTTGAGAAATCTTTGTAAAGAAAATACATTCTCCTGCATCCTCTTTTGTAGGGGAAACCACAGTTTGATCCAGTGTCCTTTACCACTCAGCCACAAAGAATGCCACACCTTAAAAAGGTAAAAATAGAGCCTTGCTGACTGATGTTCTTCATGGCTGATCAGTTAAACACACCAGATCAAATGGTGGTTTCCCAAACAAAGGCGGGGGGGCAGGTTCTATCCCTGCCAGATAACACACCTTCTGAATGGGCTTTGATGATGAATTGCTGAGAAAAATAATTGATTATCTGGTTAATAACAGTTGGTTCCCCAATTATAACATTAAAAATGACATTTTTGTCAGTCAGATGTGTTATTTTCTATATATGCAACCATTAACTGTCCATTTTACCATGACAAAAAATCTGGGAAAATGGTTTTTAAATTAAAAACAAATCCTTAAAAAGTAACAAGCAGCCCCCCAAAATCTCTTAAAAACAAATCAATTCCTTAAAAAAAAAAAAAAAAAAAAAAAAAAAAAAAAAAAAAAAATTCTTAAAATCCCTTAAAAATGAATTCTAAAAAACTTTGAAAATGAAAAATTCTTTAAAACATATTTAAAAAAAAAAAAAAAAAAAAAAAATTTATAAACAACACCCACCAAAAAAATAAATGAAAAACTTAAATCTCTTAAAATATAAAATTCTTTTGAAACAGCAAGAGTTCAATAGGTTTCTTACTTGGCATTCGGTAAAAGAGTCTCTCAGCAGCACCACTATTTGTCTGTAAAAATTTGCTATCTATGGACCAGTCAATGTGAGTGATGAAACTGGAATTACCAGAACAGACACCAACTTTTTTATAGCGTTGTTCAATTGAGTAGATATCAACAAAGTTGTCATTTGAGGCAACGGCAAGAAATTTTCCACATGGAGAGTATTTCATCTCATGAAGGACTTCTTTACGATCTTTGATATGAACAACTTCAGACAGATCTCTGTAATGAAAAAGACATCTATTTTGATAACATGAAAAAACTAATATGAAAAGATATTTATAGTTATAATTTTGCCTAATTTATTTACAGCATGTATAGAAAATAACTTCTGGAAAATCAACGGAGAAAGAATGGCAGTAAATAATAAACCATCATAAAATTTTAATAATATTGTCACCATCATCACCAGGTGTATTACATGATGCATTAAATGACCTGAATAGGAACAGTCTCAAAGTTGGTTTAAATAGTAACAGGAACAAGACAAAATACAAAAGTTATGCTCAATTGTAATATTAAAATAAAGGATGAAGAAATGGATGTAGTCCAGGAAGATATCTACTTAGTGCTGGTGATAACATTCAAGAAAGATTGCAAAAATAAAATGAAACATTTTTCATTGACATGAAGTGGAGTGATGATATTGAATCAATTGCTAGAACTGCTGCTAGAAAAATTGGTTCACTGTGTCATACCAGACAATTTTTCTCATCAAAATCTATCTTGTACATTTATCCATTCTTCATGCATGGATTATTTCTGCCATATCTGGTCTGATTCTCCTGCTACATATCTTGAGATTCTCAACAAAATCTAAATAAGAGTCTGTAACATTATTGGTCCTGACCTGGCATCTTGACTTCAGATACTTTCCATCACCATGATATGGCTTCCCTTTGTCTTTTCTATAAATATTTTCATAGTATTTGTTCTAATGAGCTCTCCTCCTTGTTGCCTTGACTGCATGAAGCATACTACTAGATTGGCAATTAGGTCTCATTGTTTTACAGTTGACATATGTAACCTAGTTCTATTCTAATAGTTTTCTCACATTTCTCTCCTGTGGAAATTTCTTCCAGTTTCTTGCATCTCTGTCATCTACAATCTTAATCTTTTCATCTTCCTTGACCCTGTTTTTTTATTGCTCTTTCTCCTCACTAAAGTATTCTCATTCTGTTTCACTCCTAGTAGACCACCCTGCATCTTAGTGGCATTATTGCTTTGTGGGTTTAATAAAACAACACATCAAGATCAACAAAAAGGATTTAATAAAAGCAGAAATAAAAAGAACCTTGTCAATATGTTTAAAATAAAGTGTATAATAAATGTATAGTACCAGGTATGATGTAAGAGTGAAACATGAAAATGAGCCATCAAAATTCAAAATAAATCAATGCAAACAGTAAATTTAAGAGATAGAAATAGTTTTACATAGATCAGGAAACAGACTAAGATATATGATAGAAATGATTAAAGTGAGCAGGACACATAATGAAAAGAAAGAATAATAGAGGGAGCAAAAGGTTGGTTAATTGTTGTCCAATGGACAACAAACACTGAAAAAAAAAAAATCAGCAGAAGATGGACAGAGGCAATAGAGAAGAGCAGAGTTATGGTTGTTATATAAGGAATTGAGAAGGGCCTTTGTCTAGTCATGAACTCACACTGGCTGATCGTTATATATAAAAAGATAGGTAAGTAGCTGAATGAGAACCTGACAGAATAGTAAATATGTAAGAGAATTTCAAAAAATTTACTTTGACATGTTTCACTGATTATCTATGGTCATCAAAGAGAGCTTAATTTACCCTGTGTAGATGTGATTACAATTTGTATGTTTTTGTAAGATATTATGAATTTCTTCCATGAGGACAAGTGTGTTAGTTTCAGTTTTGGAATGTTTTGCCAGACAGTAGTATTGTGGGTTGTTTTATTAACAGGTGTGGAGAGAATAGTTTCATATATTAGCACAGTGTTTATTTTGAGTTTGTTGATATTATTTTCTATGCATATGCCAAGGGGTTTAATGGCAGTTTCCTTTAAATTGTATAATTCTTCATATTGAGGTTGGAGAACAAACACAGTTGTATACTGAATTACTTGACATGAACATAGTTTGGTATTATATTGTAATGCTAACTTGTCATTAAATGCCAAACATGGTTTGTATGATTCAGCATACAAACTTTATATTGGGGATGTACTGTAGGCTCCTAGAACAAGTCACCGACCATCATGATGGATGGTATTAAGCTCTTTCATCTATGACTTTCTTGCCACAGCATAAAGTTGGTTCTCTGTGTCATGCCAGAAAGTTTTTCTTGCCTGAGTTCATCCTTCAAATCTACCATTCATCCTTTCATTGAATACTGTTGCCATATATGGCCTGGTGCCCCCACTGTTCATTTCAAGGTCCTTGGTAAAATCCAGAGATGGATATGCAATGTGATAGGTCTTGATCTGGCATCTCTGCAGTCACTTTCTCACAGACATGCTAGTGGCTTCCCTCTGTCTTTTCTACAAATATTTTCATGGTAACTGCTCTGATGAGCTACTTTCAACTGCATGAATTTAAGTGTACTACTAGGTTGGCATCTTGGTTTCACCCTTTCACTATTGAAACAGTTAAATGTAACTGCCTCTTCTACTCCAACAGCTTCTTCTCTCGCACTTCCCGACAGTGGAACTTCCTTTCTCCTACTTGCTTTCTTGATAGATATAATCTTCAAATATTCAAATGTAATGTCAATTGACATCTGATGCCTTGATTCTGATCCCTGTCCTTCTCTATCCTTTCCTCAAACACCCCTTTATCTTGCTCTCACTGTCTGTAACTCTTTGCTTGCTAGTGGCACTCCCACATTGCTTGGAGTGAAATGCTTTAAAATAAATAAATAAAAAAAAAAAAATAAAAATAAAAATCTATGATCCAATTTGGATCTAACCAATGCCTGATAAAGTTTTAGTAGCATCTGCCTGTTAGCTCCCCAGTCATTGTGAGAAGTGACTGAGGTAGTTGTATTGCTTTATTGTATTTCTCATGGAGGTATTTTATGTGGTAAGAAGAATAATTTTTTGTTGAATATTATTCCTATGTATTTGTATATGTCTACTACAGGCACTTGTGTACCATCAAGTCTTAATTGAGGATTAAGATGTAGATTTCAAAGTTGGCAGAAGTGTATACATTGAGTCTTTTGTCTGGAGAATCTGAATCCTGTTTCTGTGGCCCACTTGTTTACTTTGAGACGCTGTTGGAGTTGCCATTCAACTGTATAGATATTTTTTGATCTGTAACATAATAGAAAGTCATCTACATACATTGAACTGTCAACTCCAGGGTTCAAGAATTTAATGATGTCATTTATTTTGACATTGAACAGTATCACTGATAATATGCATCCTTGAGGTACACCCATTTCTTGCTTATATAGGTCTGGAAGTGTGGTACAGATACAAACATTAAAGGTTTGTTTTGTCAGGAAGTTATTGATAAGAGTCGACAATGTTCCTTTAAGACCCATTTCATTTAAGTCTTTCATGATATATCTCCATGTGATATCATAAGCTTTTTCTAGGTCAAAGAATATTGCTGATAAATGTTCCCTTTTAATAAAAGAAATTCTGATAAAAAAGTCAAACCAGATAATCAATTGTGCTTTAGTTCTTTCTGAAACCAGATTGGAAATTTGTAATTAGCTTCAAGAAACCAAGTAAGTCTATATTAACGATTCTTTCAAATGTTTTATCTAAGGAACTAATAAATGCAATTAGACAATTGTTTGAAAAATCTTCCAAGTCCTTTCCAGGTTTTGGAATTGAAATTATGGTAGCTGGTTTTCAGAAACTGAGAATATTACTCCTGACCAATATATAATTGAAAATTTTGAGTAGGTAGTTCAGGGAAATATTTGGTAAGTTTTTTAAAAAATTATAGTGAATTTTGTTTGGAAGAACTGCTGAGTTGTGTAATTTTTTTCTAATAATTTCTGGTAAAGTAAGAAGCTGGTTGTAATTTCCTTTATTGTTAGAGTAGAAATTTAAATTTTTTCTTCTCTTCATTTATTTTGATGTTCTGAAATAATTTACTAACATTATTCAAGGGAGAGTTTTGAGAGAAGTTTTGTGTTAATAAATTTGCAATATCCTCTTTGTTAGTTGCTTTCATAAAAATGTCTCAATAGAGTGCTTTTATTTTTTCACAGCAATTTTACAGATCATATTCCATACTTTTTTGGTTTGGGCATTAGCATTAATAATGGATACAAAGTTCTTCCATAAGGATTGCTTGGATTCTTTAATTATTCTATGTGCTTTAGCTCTGTTTATTTTGTAGATGTTCAGAATTTCTTGGGTTAGATGTAATTTAAACTTACATTGAGCTGCATAACACAATCTGATCGCTTTTTTATACTCGTTAAACAAAGGCCTGTCATATTTGACAGGTTTAGATTTTGATTTTGGTATGTATTGTTCTGCAATACTAAGAAGTGTTTTTGTAAAATAAATGATGTGTTCTGCATTGTCTACATTAGCTTCTGGTGTGAGTTTTAGGGCTCATGTGTTTTTAAATTTCTTCTAATTGGCTTTAAGTTTCCAGTATGATATTCTTTCATCTGGCAATGATCTAGAGTTTTCCAACACAACTGGGAAGTGATCATTACCACATGTATCATAATGTACTTTCCAGTTATAGTCTAGGTATGTTGCAGGATTGCTTAAGGTTAGATCTATTGTTGTATATGTACCACTTGATGGGTGGAGATAGATATATGACTTGTTGTATAAGCACATATTGTTTCTATTGATAAAATCTTCTATAAGTCTTCTCTTCTGATCAGTATTTTTGCAACCCTATATGATGTTATGGCTATTAAAGTCTCTCATTAAAATAAATGGTTTTGGGAGCTGCTTTAGGAGTTTATCTAATTTAGTTCTATTCTATAGGATCATTAGGAGAGATGTAAACAGAGCATATGATGATGGCTTTATGTAGTGAGGCTCTTATGGCTACTGTCTGTAGTGCTATATTCTGGTCGATCTTGGTTTGGTTTGGTTTTTGTTTTACGGCATATCAACCTCAATGGGTTATTTAATGCGGACAAAATTTTTATTGCTGGAAATATTTTTCTTCAAAAATCTATTTCCAGCAATATTTTTCCTTGAAGAAATCTATAGCTGGTCATATTTTTCCAAAGAATGTATAGCTGTTTGTATTA